AGATATGATCTTAGTTAAAAAAGACACATTGAAGTCTGATGAGGAATGTGGTATCATTCATCAACTGAACTGGAAACTGAATGCGAGTTCGTTTAAGTTACCGAAACTGATACTTCTTGCTACAAACATCACCACTGCAGAACTAGACAAGGCAAGGGCAGCAGGTTTTGCAGACACTGTGATCATGAAGCCATTGAGGGCGAGTATGGTTGCTGCCTGTCTTCAACAAGTACTTGATGTTAAGAACCAGAGACGAGGAAGGGGCCTACCAAATGATTCTGTTTTCCTTCAGAGCCTTCTCTGTGGCAAGAGAATCTTAATTGTTGATGACAATAAAGTAAACCGAAGGGTCGCTGCAGGCGCTCTGAAGAAAGTAGGTGCAGATGTTGAGTGTGCAGAAAGCGGGAAAGCTGCACTGAAGTTGCTTGAGCTACCGCACAATTTTGATGCTTGCTTCATGGATATTCAAATGCCTGAAATGGATGGGTATGTTCTAACAAGTTTTCTTCATTTCTTCTCTGAATCTTTCAGGTCTTTCATTAGAATGGCATAGTTCTTCATTTCTCCTTTTGCTGTTTTAGCTAAAAAAACATGAACTCAGACCAAAAGTTAGTAGAAAGTTTTGGAGCGATTGCATTGTCTCTGTGAGATCCCACATCGATTGGAGAGGAACGAGTGTCGGCGAGGACATTGAGCCCTAAAGAGGAGGGTATACACTGGGCGGTGTACCAGTGAGGATGCTGGGCCTCGAAGGAGGTGGATTGTGAGATCCCACATCGGTTGGAGAGTGGAACGAAGCATTCTTTATAAGAGTGCGGAAATCTCTCCCTAACATATGCGTTTTAAAAACCTTGAGGGGAAATCCGAAAGGGAAGGCCCAAAGAGGACAACATCTGCTAGCTGTAGACTTTGGCTGATACAGTTTCATTCTTTTCTCCATGAAAGTACGAGTAAATTATATGTATATTTTGTCAAAACTGCAGGTTTGAGGCGGCTCGTCTCATCAGGACGATGGAGAGCAAGGCAAACGAAGGATCATCTACAACCGAAAGTGAGTGGCATGTACCAATATTAGCAATGACTGCAGACGTGATTCATGCTACCTATGACGAGTGCCTGAAATACGGAATGGATGTCTACGTCTCGAAACCCTTTGAGGAAGAAAATCTATACAAGTTGCCAAGATTTTCCAAAAATCATAGCCCATCAAAGGCTTCATGGATGCCAAATGATCATCAGCTGCACAAAACCAGAGGCAAAAGCTCCATTGCTGACCTCCTTTTGGTGGGTTCGAAAATACCAGAAACTTTTGACACCATTCCTGGTGCTAACTGTGTTCTTGCTGGTGAATCCGAGCCGAGTTTGACCCAGCGTCGGGAATTCTCGACTGGTATTGAGATTCAAGCTTAGCCATTGCCATTTCTAACCAACTAAATGCTTTGTTTTTATTTAGAATATGATAACCAACTTGTATACTACAACAGAGCTATCCAACCCCTAATGGATGTATGAATGGTTACAAGGGGAAGAAACTAAACTGTAAATTGGTGGCATAGGATTGTCTTTTGGCTAAATGTTTACAACAAGCTCATTCATAAGTTTGTTGAACATAAAAGAATGTAAATATGTAATGACCTCTGAAAGGACGAGGATTTGAATCTTTTACTGTTTGATGCTTGATTACTTCTTGAGATATGCTCAAATCGGCAACATGTTACGTCATCTTTCAGTCTTAGTTTAAGGAAGTATGTTGATTATTCCACCGAATTTTTATCTAACATTCTTATAGATTTTTACTTCAATAAGAGAAATATTACTTCAAAGAATATGAATATTTTTTTATCAAATAATAAAGTTGCAAAATGATACCTCAAAATTAACCTAATTTATTTGATATAAAATATATATTATCAATTAAAATGTTAAATGTTTAAATGGTATATTTATCAAAATAGAAAAATCACATGGTGGCCTATAAATATTTAATTTAAGTACGCATTCTTTTAAATGGCAAAATACGGCGCAAAATAAATATCTTTTCATATCAAAATTATTTGATATTTAGATTCCTAATTTATTATATATTTTAATTATTTTCTTGTCTTTTTATTAATTACTTTTGGATGTCGATTGAAAAAGAGAAAAAATAAATATTTATATTAAATGCTTCTGATTATACTTGGTAATTTATGTCATTATTCTTCCATTTAATTTTTATTATTTATGTTTCACATATCTAATATTATATTATGGATTGAGAAGTTTTAGTTTAAATGGATATTAGAAATTTCTAAAAAATAAATAAGAATTTCGTGAAAATTAAAAATAAAATGGAGACAAAGAATGTTTCCTTATCCAGCATACATGTTTATTTTGACACCTAATGGTGAATTGGAGTATATTATTATTATTATTATTATTATTGTGAATTGGAACACGTAATTTGAATGTTTGAAATAAATGCGTAACGTCTCATTAATTGCATGTGAACCATCCGAATGCCATTCTGGAAATCATAAAGTTTTTTTTTTTTTTTAATTTCTTTTTGTTTAAATTAATACATAAGCATACTCACGTTTTTCAGAAACACTGCATTCATTACTAATATTATTTTGCAGTTTAAATTAAATTTGATTTTCCAGGAAAAAGAAAATACATCTAATTATTTGACTAGTATGATACACAAATTTTGAATAATTATTTATTCGGTACTAAAAATTAAATATATTAATTACGGTTCTACGTCAAAAAAAATCCTAAGGAATTATGGCTGAGGATTGTTGGGATTGAGTCCCAAGTTGAAGCCCAAAACAAAGTCATGAGAGCTTATGCTCAAAAGGGAACAATATTGTACCATGGTAGAGATCCGTGATTCTTAACATGATATCAAAGTCATGTTAAACACCGTCATAAGCCCTATTCTCTAGGACCAAGACCTATTCTCAAGGTCTTGCTAATATTTTTAGGCTGGTTAGTTTATCTTTAGGTTTAGCTGAAGGCTATATAATGCCATTCTTTCCTGCTGTTGAAAGATCAAGTTTTTTAGTGCAATATTGTATGTCTTGAGTGATTTTGGTGTTGTGAGTACATTTGTTCCGCTCTCAGCGCACAACAAGTTATGCCCTAAACTTAGTCATGACCATAAAATTTTTAAATATCGAAATTGGTCGGATATGGTTAATTAAAATAGTGAGATTTCAAATTTGAAGTAAAGTAGAAGGAATGGCACATGATGTTATAAATTTTATATGAAGTTTAGATTTCTTTATTTATTGGTAACGACCCCACTCTTGATTGCATATGATTAGATTAGATTTTAATATTTCATTTTTTTATTGTCACAAAATCTTTTGTAATGTCAGATTTACACAAATTTGAAGGAATTATTTATATAGCTTGATGCACCCATTTGACTTTGCTAAAAAAATAATTTAGCCTACGTTTTGGGTAGCTTAAAATACCTATCATTTCATTCTTGGTTCATATTCAATCTGCTATTATTCTTGGAGATTCTCGTCAATTTAATATTTACGAATTTGAAAAGTTTGGTGGCATCCTATGCTAATTTAATATGGAGATTCTCTATCCTGATTGGACTAATGTGAGACTTTTTGTTGATTGATATTTATTTCAGATTGATTGAATTGGAGAGTGTTCGTCAAGTAAATTGTTAGGTCGATTTGGTTCCTTGTTGCTCGATACTTAGTTCAGATGAATTGAATTTGAGGGTTTTTAAAGAAGTTTCCACATTATTTAAAATGAATAACATATAGAATATATATATATTTTTAAAAAGTTTGTAAAGTAATTTAAAACAAAAAATTTCTAAAATAATTTAAAACAATATTTCTTATGGGTCAAATATTCAACTTCCCATATGATTTATTAAACAAAGGATTAAAATTATATAATAGCACGAAACCTCTAGAAAAATAATATTAAAAGAAATGGAATTGAAAATATATAAACTAAATCATTTAAAAAACTTATACTAATGCTAGACCTAGTTGTTAAATCGAAGTGATAAGTTGTGTTGATACGAATCATATGGCTCAATTTACAAATGACTCGTCAACGTACGACTTTGCCATTATTTGAGGAAAAAAAATAAGTAGCCCCCTAATGAAGTAAGACATGCATACATACAATAAGCATGCACATGTGGGACCTAGTTCGTATGTGTCAAGACATCTCATTTTTGTGTGGCTAATGTGGACAATTAGCTTATTAAGTTGTACCAATTATCTCAGGTGCATGATCCGGAGTTCTAAGAGACTTTACCAATTAAATTTTCTGAAAGCACGTCATTCATAATATACATGAAATCTCTTAACCGACTCTCAACATATATAAACAAATGCATGCATTGTCATCACATATCACATAATACAATTCATATATATCCAACCTAGTTTTAAGTCCGTTTATTAAGAGAACTACTTTGGATCATAATAAAATTTCAACGATTACCAAATTCGAGTTCAAATATTTTTGTGGAGTCCGAGCATTCTCCCCAACTTAAAAGAAAATTAAACACTTAAAACCGGCCACCGAAACTTATCCAAAAATGGATAAGAGAATTAAGGGGTATTTTTACCAACAGTTGTTCTTAAAAACAAAATTTAGGCCAAATCTCAAAAACTAAATAGAAAGAATTGAACCAGAATCGACATTTGGACATGCTACAATAGTCATCTAGAAAAAATTGTAGTGCTGGAACAACTGTCGGAAAACATTAGAGATTAAATAAATTAAAATTTTATAGGTTAAAAAGTCCTTATTTAATCTCTAATTAATTATTAAAAAATAAAATAAAAAACTTACCAATTAGGTTAAAACAAGACTTAAAAGGAAAAGTATTAATGGATGGGCAAGCATTATCTTCTCCATTCTCCATGGCGGCATCATTCTTTCTTCCCTGTGGTTAGCAGTGTCAAATTTTCTGAGCTGGACCCACACGTCGTTTTCTTTTTCTTCCATTTTCCCACTTCCCAAACACCCCAGTTTCTCTCTCTTCTTTACTCATTTCCTTAACGCCTTTCCTCCTCCTCTTTCATTCTTATTCTTCTCTCTCTGCTTTTGCATTTATCACTATTTTCTTCTCCCCACCATCTCCGCCGCGTTTTCCTCCGTCCTCCCTTCTGGAGAACAAAAAGAAACGCAATTGATGAAGATGAGAAAAGGGTTTTAATCCAATGCCGGCTGTACGGTTTCTTTTCTCCCTGTCATTTTGAGTAAAACCCTGTTCTGGGTTCCTGTTCTTTCTTTCTTCTGGGTTACCACAGAGAGAGGATTTTGATTATTTTGCCTTTTTCGTCTCTTTTGTTTTTTTTTTTTCTTAGTTTCTTGACGAAGATTGAAAAGAAAATGAGGGAACCCCATTTGGGTTTTGGGGTGTTCCTTTTTGTGTTCGTGTTCTTTATCCAGTTTCTGGGGTCCTCTGTTTACGGCCAGCCGGCTGCCGGCGGTGGCGGTGGCGGTGATGGGTCAGTGATGAATCTCTTGAGGACTAGTATTGGAGCCCCGAGTTCTCTTGGGTGGACTGGTTCGGATTACTGTCAATGGCAGTATGTGAATTGCGATTCTCAGAACCGAGTGCTGAAAATCCAAATTGGAAACCAAAAGCTCAAGGGATCACTTCCAAAGGAGCTCTTCAACCTATCGGCGTTAGTACAATTAGAGGTGCAGGGCAACCAGCTGAGTGGGCCGTTTCCTAATCTTCCTGATTCACTGCAAATACTTCTTGCGCATGATAATCTTTTCACTTCCATGCCGGCTGATTTCTTCGCCAATAAGTCGGCGCTGCAAACGATATACATCGACAACAATCCCTTTGCGGCCTGGACAATCCCTGATAACATTCGAGAGGCTTCTGGGCTACAGGAATTTTCAGCAAATAGCGCTAATATAACTGGTGTAATCCCTGGATTTTTCGATGGCACTACATTTCCGACTCTTACAAACTTGCATTTGGCGGGTAATTTTCTTGAAGGTGGATTACCAGCGAGCTTTGCGAGTTCTTCGATTCAGTCACTCTGGTTAAATGGACAACAGAGTAGTTCTAAGTTAAACGGTTCCATTGCCATACTGCAAAACATGACAAATTTACTGGAGATTTGGTTGAATATGAACCAATTTTCAGGTCCTTTGCCGGATTTCTCAAACCTTCATGGATTACAAAACTTGAGTTTGAGGGATAATCAGCTTACGGGTATTGTTCCTTCATCCTTGATAAATTTGAAATCCCTTGTGATTGTGAATTTGACGAATAATATGCTTCAAGGACCCATCCCTGCATTTAATCCTAATGTTCATCTGGACATGAGTCCTGGATCCAACAATTTTTGCTCGAATTCTCCGGGTGAACCTTGTAATCCCCTTGTGACTGCTTTGTTATCGGTTGCACAGTCAATGGGTTTTCCAACAGCCTTTGCACAGGGCTGGGTAGGCAATGATCCTTGTAATAATTTCAAGGGCGTTATGTGTACTGGCAACCCTGGAAACATAACTGTTATTAACTTTAGAAATATGGACCTTGTGGGCACTATTTCGCCTAGCTTTTCATTGCTTACATCTGTGCAAAAGCTGCTTCTCTCTAATAATTCTCTTTCTGGCACAATACCAACAGAGCTTGTTACTATGCCTAATCTTACAGAATTAGATGTCTCCAATAATAAGCTTTATGGTAAAGTGCCTGGTTTTAGGACAAATGTGATTGTGAACACGCAGGGGAACCCAGATATTGGGAAGGATAGCCCCACTGCTCCTACTGGGAAATCACCCTCTGGTACCGGTTCGGGTGAGGTATCTGATAAAGTTCATAAGAGAAGTAATACCGGGGTGGTTGTTGGTTCCATAGTTGGTGTTCTTGTTGTTCTACTAATAGTTGGGACTGTGATTTTCTTTTACATGAGAAATAAGAGACATGGTAGTAGAGTGCCGAGTCCAAATACAGTGGTGGTACATCCTAGTCATTCTGGAGACCAAAATTCAGTGAAGATTACACTTACGCAGGCTAGAGTCGATGCGCCTGAAACCAGCAGCCCTCCTGCTGGACCCAGTGATGTCCATGTGGTTGAGGCAGGTAACCTGGTTATCTCGATTCAAGTTTTAAGGAATGTAACAAATAATTTTAGCCCCGAGAATATATTGGGGAAAGGGGGTTTTGGAACTGTTTACAAGGGGGAATTGCACGATGGTACGAAGATTGCTGTGAAGAGAATGGAGTCTGGAGTCATTGGTGAGAAGGGTTTGAATGAATTCAAGGCTGAGATTGCTGTTCTTACTAAGGTTCGGCATCGAAATTTGGTTGCGCTTCTTGGATATTGCTTGGATGGGAATGAGAGGCTTCTAGTTTATGAGTACATGCCCCAGGGGACTCTTAGCAGGTTTTTATTTAACTGGAAAGAAGAAGGGCTTAAACCCTTTGAATGGCAAAGAAGGCTTATTGTTGCCTTGGATGTAGCCAGGGGTGTTGAGTATTTGCATAGTTTAGCACATCAAAGCTTTATCCATCGTGATCTTAAACCATCGAACATTCTTCTCGGAGATGATTTGCGAGCTAAAGTAGCTGACTTTGGATTGGTTCGTCTTGCTCCTGAAGGGAAAGCGTCGGTCGAAACAAGACTTGCAGGAACGTTTGGTTATCTTGCCCCAGAATATGCAGGTATGCACTCTTCTCGTCTGCTTGTGTTTGAAATCGTGAATTTAGTTATGTAGAATGTCTTTATTGTAAGGGATTTGCTGAACCTGTTTGTTTCGCTTAGCAATAGGCTTTTAGAAACTAACGCCTCCTAATGATATATACTGACATTCTATTCCAGTAACTGGACGAGTTACGACCAAGGTCGACGTTTATAGCTTCGGGGTGATCCTGATGGAGATGATATCTGGTAGAAAAGCACTCGACGATAGTCAGCCAGAAGAGAGCTTGCACCTCGTGACATGGTTCCGCAGAATGTACATTAACAAGGAAGTTTTTCCAAAGGCCATAGATCCTTCAATCGACATAGATGAGGAGACCCTTGGCAGCATCACCACTGTTGCAGACTTGGCTGGTCATTGCTGTGCAAGGGAGCCATTCCAGCGGCCCGACATGAGTCATGTAGTCAACGTGCTTTCGTCTCTAGTTGATGTCTGGAAGCCAACAGAACCATCATCTGAAGAGCAGTTTGCAATTGATTTGGAGATGTCATTGCCACAGGCGCTTAAGAAATGGCAGGCATTCGAAGGAGATAGCGGTACGGATGTGTCTTCATCATCATTCCTTCCAAGTAGAGACAACACACAAACCAGCATCCCGAACCGGCCATCTGGTTTTGTAACTTCGTTTACGTCTGCCGATGCACGGTGAGCTATAGAGAAACCCAAGTTTTTTTTTTATTGATCTTAGCTGCTTTCTGTTGTCCATTCTTTAGCCTCTCTAATCTTTGTTGCTTAATCCTCAGTAGTGTTGAACCTTTTGTGTAAGGCTTGTGATGTTTCCTCCCCGTGTTCTTGGATATTTTAGTGTCGTCCACATCTATGTAAGGTTTTAGAGAAGGAAATTCCCTTACAGAATGCCTGAGTTTTTTCATTATTATTTTGACAGCACTCCTTGGACATTTAGAAGAAACGATAAATTATTTATGTATGAAGTTTAGTGATTGTTTGAATACAAAATTGAAATTTCATAAATTTATGGAATTATAAACTGATAAGTTAATTTGTCTGCTGAGGATGGTTGGGAGAGGAGTCGCACGTCGGCTATTTAATGGGTTGATTATGGGTACGGTACGAGGTCTTTTGGTGAAAACCAAAAGTAAGCCCATGAAAGTTTATGCTCGACAATATCATATCATTGTGGAGAATCGTGGTTACTAACTTGGTATCAGAGTTGTACTTTTTAACTTAGTCATGCCAATAGAATACTAAGTGTTGACCAAATGGTATACTTTGTTCGTGGGCTCTAGAGGAATCGAACTTCGATTAAGGTGAAACTATTCGAGAGTTTCACAGACTTTAAGAGAGGCTCTATAGCGTGTGTTTTGTTTGGAGGAAGAATTATTGAGGATGGTTTGGAAAAGAGTAAGATATCCCCTCCTCAAAGGGTTGATAAGAATACATTTTCATTGCAGTCATGACAATGTCGTGGCATGGTCCAGGTCTCATAAATTGAGTCAAAATTCATAATTTGTCCACGTCATCCATCCACATCATCGGTCCACGTCAAACAAACTATTTTCAATCAAATATGGAAAATTTTGTTTGAGGGATGCGAGCGGGCCCACAAATGTCCGATTACGATTTTATTCCGTTTTGTCCCAACAGTGCGTAAATTTAGGAATTAATTAGAAAAAAAAACAAATATACCTATCGAGGCGCCAGCTTAGCAGAATCAGGGGAACGCCCACTGTTTCGTTTCGTCACAGTTGACACGTGGCGAATAACTATAGGTGGGGCTTATCTGGTTCCCTGCCTGTCATTTATGTGTAAAATTGACCGTCACTGCAGTTGCGGTTTTTTCTTCTCGCCAATGTAATTCGCCCAAGCTTATCCGTTTTATTGAAAAACGATAAAATGTAAATTTAATTTGGTAAGTTAATTTATATTATTGATTAATAAACTATATTTCTATTGAAATTAGTGAGTATGGAGGCTTTTACATTTCTTATTAAAAATAATAGGTAAAATAACGGAAATTGACTAAAGGACAGAAAAAAAATCAAATATAGGATAAAAACAGACCGACCTATAGAAAAAAGTCAACCACCCAACAAAGACGTTGTGGTTGTTGAAATTGTTGTTCTTATAGTGCATAATAGTTCGTCTATAACTCTAGATCTTTCAAACTAGAGTTTCTCGTTCAGGAAAGATAATGCTTAATAATATTTGAATGCGTTTACTAGGGAGAGGTTGCTACACCATTATAAGGAATGATTCGTTTCTCTCTCCATCCAATGTGGGATCTCATGATTGCTGACACACCGTCCACCCGACTTAATTCAACTATGTTTGATAATATATTTATAAATTGAATCAAAACCAATATCAATTAATTTACAAAGTATGTACTATTTTACCTACCATTTAACTAATAATATATTTATTTTAACAAAGTGAATGATTTTATAAATTATAATTTTTTATCCATTAAATATAAATTTTAATTTTAAAACTTCAAATTCAAATCTAAATAAACTAAAAATGAAAATATGTTATTTTCAGAAATTTAGTGATTTGTGAACATAAAATATAATTCAACGAACTTATTATTATTTTCATAATTTTAGAAAGTGAAATGGAACTATGGGCTTCGCAAAACAAGGCCCATGAACTACAACCATAATCTGGGGCCCAAAGCCCATTCGATCTCCGTCTGCTGGATGAACGATCAATTGCGTCTCCCAACATTGCTCCCTCTTCCAAATTTCCAGTTTCCTTAACCCCTGTACACTGCTCCTTCCTTCACAATTCTTAAAAAATCTCAAACCCTAATTTATCTGGTACGGTCATACTAAAACCCCATGAAAACCCCATTGACTGGCGTTCTGTTCTGTTACTCTCCTTTTTGAAGCTGTCCCTGCTCGCAAAACCCAGCTATTTTTTCTTCCGGGGGTCTCTTAAGGGATTGCATAGCCTCTTCCGGCAATGGCTCTCCCTCCTCTTGAGTGTATGTATGTCGTTGAAAGCAATCTTCGCGAATGGAAGTCCGGAAACTCGAGCTTTAGGGTTCCCAACCCTGTCCCTGTGCTTCGCTTCCTTTACGAGCTTTGCTGGACCATGGTTGGTACTCTAATTCATATATGTGTGAATTATATATATTTTATCAACTTATTTTTGGGTTTAGATATGTCTGGTAGTTTGTATATGTTGAAGTTGCGTTCTTTAGCAACTATTAAGCGTTTTTTTTTTCTTGGGATTTTAGTGGTGCAATGATTTTTTTATCGATAGATATTTGTTTATGGGATTCTACCAAATTCAGGTTCGAGGTGAATTGCCGTTCCAGAAGTGTAAAGCAGCATTGGATTCAGTAGAGTTCACGGACAAAATGTCTGCGGAGGAGTTAGGATCGAGTTTTGCTGATGTCATTACCCAATTGGCCCAAGATGTTAGTATTTTAATTTTATTTATATTTTCGTTAACAAGAAGCTTCATTTTCCATTTATGCTTAGATGAATTTTAGAAGTTTCAATCAGTGTTTTCAAGGTGCACTTGGGCGATTGCCTATGGCGAGGTGCATATCCTGCAGTTAAATAATGTTTTATAGTATTCTATTAAGTGTGCCTCGTGTCACTCGGGCGACACATTTTTGTCGTCTTTTTCCTTAAGGTGATATAGAGACTTTGTTGCTCTAGAGTGTGCCTTGCGCTTTGAAATTAGTGGTTTTGATTGTTAATATCTCATTATTTGAAAGGCGGACTCTCAAGTTCTTATATATATTTGAGGAGAAACCAACTCCTATTTTGATTAATAAAATAATACAAAGGATGCCCTAGGACAGGCCAATAGAGGGGATTACACACGCACACACACACTCATACAAAACTAACAAAAAAGAACCCAAACTCTTCATCGAAATACTAAAATCTTGCCTTAATAAAGAAAAAAATGAATGACTCTAAATTTGATGAGGAAGCACACCATCATAAAACATGGTTCAATTGTTCTACTGCATCTACATAAAATGCGCTAGTTTTGTACCATGTGACTGTTTGTTTTGAAGTTTCCCCATCCTAAACACATAATGTGATAAACAATTGTCATCTTTTGGTTGAGTTTAGAGTTCTCTAGTTGAAAGTTTCTAACTTGCAGAATTATATTTATGCTTCATTTGTATTGTAAATGTTATTCATGTTTCTGATGAATAAAATATATTTGAACATGAGGAGAGTATCCATATTTCTATTTATTGACCTAAATTTACTTAACTTGCAGATCACATTACCCGGAGAGTATCGTGTTCGTCTTTTAAAATTGGTGAGTATATAAAATAAGAGATTATGATTATTGCCTCATGTTGTTGGATGGTTATCTGGGCTCTTTAATAGTATCCTTGGCTTATTCTTTTTAAAGCTTACGGTTTTGTTTTTTTAATTCAGCCTTTAGAGTTTAATTTTGTTATTAGGCATAATCAAGATTAGTTAGCCATTTTCTTGGCGTGGTTGTTAGTCCTAACAAAATTTAGGTTGTATATATAGCAATCCTTGTTATTATCAAAGGGCAGATCATTGTTTAATAAAAATTCAGTCTTTGGTTTTTACACTAAATTCATATCAGAGCACTGCAAATAAGGGATTCTTATGATGGGGAAAGCACTACTACTTCTGGTAAAGAATCATTCAGAATGGAGACCACCATTCCGACCCAAACTTTATCTCCAAGATCAACAATTCAATGTTTGCTGTCGGTTGAAGAATCTATTGGAGGAATACAATGTATGATGGCTACTTTGGCTACTCAATTAGAAAGAATTGAGTTGAAATTTGAGCGACAATAAGTGGGAGAAGAGAAAATTCTTGACCTCAAGTGCAACCAAATCAAGATTGTGAATCCTGTTGCAAGCTAGCCGCAGAAGAAAGAATTCAGAATCAGGAATGGTTTAGAGAAATTATCAATCAGGGTCATCCACCTAGACAGGAAGATACACATCATGATTTTCATTCTTCAAGTGACGAAGAAAAATTCTTACTTTCTCAGCAGCCAGCTTATGAAAATCAATTAATCCAAGGGATGACTGTTGATGAAGATAGATTTACCGAGCTTTAATGGAAATTTAGATGTTGGAAATTTCTTGATTGGATCAAGAACTTCAAAAGCTTTTTTGATTGCATGGAGACTCCAGATGAAAAAAAAGGTCAAGTTTGTAACACTACAGTGGAGCATTCACTTGGTGGGACGAGCTTGTGGAATAAGAACTTTCAAGACTTGACTTGACTACAAATTAGGAAACTTCTCAAAGAAAGCTTTTAACCTTTCGATTATGAACATATTCTTTTTAACCAATATCATCACTGTAACCAAGGATCCAGAACAGTGGGGTAATACAAAGAACTATTCAATTGTTTAGGAGCTCAACTCAATCTGGCTGAAGGGGAGAAATATCGAAGTGCAAGTTATATAATCTGGATTGAAGAAAGAAATTCAAGAAAAGGATAGAATTGTAACCGTTAGGGTGTTTGACAGAAGCTGTAACGTGAACAGAAAAATTTGAATAACAGTATGAAAAAAGGAGAAAGAAACGAATAACTTGGGAAAGGCTGAACAACACTTGTAAATGCAATTCAAATGAATTCCAAGTTGGCAGTTCATCTAATAACCCAATTTCAAATGGAAAAGAAGAAAAACAATCACGAATGTCCCAGATTTAAAAGGATCAGATGTTGTGGCTAAGTAAACTCAAAATCAGGCTTAATTTGGGGAAGTTTTTTCCGTTGTGGACAGCAGGGACATTTGTTTATCACTTGAGAAAATTAGTGGCCGTAATTGATGAAAATGATCAAGTTAATGGTTAAGGGGAAGAACAATTGGAAGAAGATGTTGCCCATCTTGAACCTTATGATGGAGAACAGGTTTCTTGTATTGTGGTTCTACTCACTCCTAAACTTGAGACACATCCACACAGACATATGCTTATTACATGATGTACAATCAATGGAAAGGTACGTAATATGATTATTGACAGTGGGAGGGAGCGGGGAACATTTGTTTCTCAAAAAGCTTGTTAATGCTCTAAATCTTAAAGTGGATCGACATCCAAATCCATATAAGGTAAGTTGGATTTAAAAGGGAGGTGAAGTAACAGTGAATTCCATTGCCAAGTACCTCTTTCTATCGGAAATCATTATATGGACCAGATAATCTGTGATATTTTGAAATGGATGTTTGTCAAATTCTACTAGGAAGGCCTTGACAGTATGATCTCCAAGCTCTCACGAAGGGAGGGGCAATCCTTATGAATTCTTATGGACGGGAAGGAAAATTGTGTTGTTGCCCACTACAAACACTAATGACAAAAAAGGACCCAAAGATGATTCCAAGGCAGTGAAACAACTATTTACTATAGTCAAAGACAAAAACTTTATAACAGAAGAGAACTGTATTGTTTTGCTTTTGTTTTAAAGGGATAACCTCCTTCGACATAGCAATTTGAGGCTGTACATGAAGAAATTCAATTGTTACATACTGACTTTCCTGCTCTTTTAGAAACACCAAGTGAAAATTACCTCTATTATGTGATATTCAACATCACATTGACTTCCTGGATTCACTCTTTGGCATTTACCTCATTATAGAATGAGTCTCGAAGAGTACTCAATTTTACATGATCAAATAAATGAGTTGCGGAAAAGGGACATATTAGACCTAGTATGAGTCCATGTCCTGTTCGAGCACTTCCAACACCTAAAAAAAAAAAACGAATCATGGAGAATGTGTGTTGCTGGGCTATAACAAGATTAACATAAGGTATCGATTTTCAATCCCATGTTTATCTGATCTATTGGACCTATTGATGTAGCTCAATTTTTTTTTTTCCAAAATAGGCTTGAAATGTGGTTACATCAAATTTGAATCCAACTAGGAGATGAATGGAAGACCACTTTCAAAACTAACAAAGGGTTTTTGAATTGGCTTGTCAAATGCACGAAGTACCTTTGTGAGGTTGATGATCTAGGTTTTAAAACCATTTTTGAACCATTCTTTCATTTTTATGATATTTTAATTTACAGAAAATCAAGTGATGAACATATTTTTCACCTATGAAAGCTTTTTGAAACACTTCACAAGCATGCACTTTACATCAATCTTAAGAAATGTTCCTTCATGACTCCTGAAATTCATTTTTATGCTTTATAGTCCATAAATATGGCATTTCTGTAGATCCTTCTAAGATTCAAGCTATCAATGAATGGCCTGTACCAAAAACAGTAAAAGACATTCAATGTTTCCAAGGTATTGTGTCCTCTTATCAAAAAATTTATCCAAAGTTGCACTGAATGTCTAAAAAAGGGTAAGTTTCAATGGGAATATACCAAACCAATAGTTTTTGTATTCTAAATGCCAAGGTAGGCTATGCACCTGTCTTAGCACTTCCTAATTTTACTCGACCAATAATTATTGATGCTTCAAGAATTGGGACAGGGGCTGTACGTTCTCAAAACTTTCATCCCATTGTATTCCTTAGAGAACTTAGTGATTCACGCAAAAAATGGAGAACATACATACAAAAAAGAGTTATATAACCTAATCACTGCTCTCAAACAATGTTAGTATTATCTCTTGGGAAAAGAGTTTATACTATTCACTGACCATTATTCTTAAAAATTTCTACAAACTTAGAAAACTGTCATCCTGACATGCTAGATGGTTGGCGTTCATACAACAATCTGATTTTCTTATTAAGCATGAAGCTGGCCTTAGTCACTGTGTAACCAATGGCCTTAGTAGAAAAGCCACACTCTTAAACCTTACCAAAGGTAGAATTTTTGCTTTTGACTCTGGCATACTTAATGAAAATGATTGGGACTTTCATGAAATTTGCTACCTTTGCAAAACACAAGTAAATTGCAACAATATTCATCTTGCTTATGGGTTTTTTGTTCAAAGCTGACAGGCTATGTATCTCCCATACTTCTTTAGGAGAACAATTACTTGAGGATGGTCATGCAGGAGGTTTGGCTGGACTCTTTAGTGGTGTTGGGCAGAAAATTTTGTACTTTTTATCTAATTGTTTCTTTTTGGCCTTTGTTAAGAAAAGACGTCTTCAATTTTATACAAAGATTCTTTATATGTCAATCAGGTAATGGCCAAAGATAAAATATAGGATTGTATACACCTCTCCAGATTCCTCTGTTTGGGAAGACTTATCTATGGACTTTGTCCTTGGATTGTTTTGTACACAACGGGTATATGATTACGTGCTTGTAGCGGACTGTTTCAGCAAAATGTCACACTTTCTACCTTGTAAAAAGACATCTGATGCTGTGTATGTGGCTAATATTTTCTTTAGGACGTGGTCTGTCTTTATGAAATACCTAAAAGCATAGTTTCGGATGGGGATTTTAAATTCCTTGGTCACTTTTCGAAAACCTTTTTGAAGACGCTTGATACCACACTCAAATTACCACTAGCCATCCTAAAATGGATGGACAAACAGAAGTGACAAATCATATGCTTGGAAGCCTAATACAATGCCTATGTGGTGACAAATCTAAACAACAATGGAATCTTGTTCTTGCACAAGCGGAATTTTCCTTCAACAACATGAAGAATCACTCGACAAACTAGTGTTCCTTTGACATTTGTTTATACTAAGGCCCTTGGGTAACTTCAGATTTGGCTAATATTCCCACTATTGTTGAATTTAATCAGGAAGCTGGTAATATGGCTGAATGTATTGTGGAACTCTATAAAGAAGTAATGGATCATCTTGTCCATTCTAACTCAAACTGCAAAGTTGCAGCAGATGCGCATCGTTGTGCTAAAGAATTCAAGCAGGGAGACTTAGTATGATTTACCTACAGAAGTTGCGGCTTCCTAAAGGAACTTTTAACATACTCCATCCTAGAAAGCTAGGACCATTTCGCATTCTTAAACAATACGGAGAAAATGCTTATCAAATTGAGCTTTGAGATGGCTTACAAATCAATCTCATCTTCAATGTGGCTGATATTTTGATTCCTTCATTTTGGCTCCTTAGTGTTGACCATCACTCGAGTAAGCTTTTTTTTTTTTTTTTTTGGGGGGGGGGGGGGGGGTCAAATGTGATGTAGGCTCTTTAATAATAATCTTGGGTTGTCCTTTTGTAAGCTTATGGCTCTGTTTGAGATTAGCCTTTAGAGGTTGATTTTTGTAATTTGGTTTAATCAAGATTGGTTAGTCATTTTCTTGGCATTGTTGTTAGTCCTAACAAACTTTAGGTTATATAAATAGAAACCTTGTTACTATGAAAGGGAAGATCATTGTTCAATCAAAATTTGCTTTGGTTTTTACAACAGATTGTTTTGCTTTTGATTTCTATTTATTAGGTTAAACTGTGAGTTCGTGACAAACTTTTGGAACAACTTTAACAGATGAGCAACTTTTGAATAACACCCTCTTTGCAATTTTTTGGATAAAGTTTAGTAGCTGTAATCTAAAAAATTAAAGCCAGAACCCTTATGATGAATCGAATCTGGAAGAAAAGAAATTGGACAACCTTCATTGATAGCCAGGGGGGTTTTGTAACTATCATGATGTGGTTTTTGTTTCTTTCGAATGGATTACTCTCACAAAACCCTTCTATAATTGTTTTATACACCTTTTCAAAAATTGAAGTTCTAATCTGTAACCTTCTTTGGTAAGAGGTCCTTATCTCGTTCTGGCTCTGGTTGTAAAAATTAATTTCAAATAATGCAACGTTACTTTCAATATTTATATAGTAGTTGGATTTCTTAGTAGAGAAAAAGGAATTTGAAAACTTGATCTCCCTATTTTTCCACCAAATTATGTAATGATCTTTAATGCTATTTCATTGCATATCCTCTTGACGTATTACATTTGGACAATTATCATTTGATCTATGTATATGTATATATTTATCTTTCATTATTTTTGTTGTGGAGAATATGTTATTCTGTTTCTCCTTACCATATATTTCATTTTAAAAAATTATTACACCTCATTAAACCAATTGAATATTGTATTCTGTTCCTTCTAGGCTAAATGGCTGGTTGAATCTGCATTTGTCCCATTGAGGCTTTTTCAAGAACGGTGTGAGGTGATATTTATGTATAAATTTTTTCTCGGATGGATTTCATTATTTTTCTTACTGTAAATTCTCTATCTAGAGACAGTGTTTCATTCTTGTGATCTACCAAGCATAATGACCATTTTTCATTTGTGGGCCTCAATGATGGTTGCACCATTCGTCTAGTGATTGAAATTCTGAACTGGATTTGCTTGATTTTAGGAAGAATTTTTATGGGAGGCTGAAATGATAAAGATTAAGGCGCAGGAATTGAAAAGCAAAGAGGTGAGTGATAGTTGTGTAATGAGATTCAAACATTGTTATTGATAATGTCAACTGGACCAGGGTGTTGATGTGATATATAATTTTTCTTTTCCATTTGTTTTCCATTTGTTTAACTACTGTAATAGTTGATCTTTAAATTTTGAACATGTTCAAATCTTAGGTTCCCATAATATTTGTAGATTTATCAAAAATACTTTTCCATTTGTACTTTGTTCTATGTTCTTATGTTTTTCTTCTTAGTTTGTTGCCTTGGTCGATTAGTTTCATGAGCAAACTCTCTTTCTCTCTCTCCACACACATATTTATGTTATACACGCGTGTATGTATCAACTTTGTGTTACTTAGGTTTTACTCCATGTAATAACGTTAGATGCCAATTTGAAGGTTCTCTCAATGTGGAAGGTGTATGCTTATTTGTAGATTTATCAAAAATACTTTTCCATTTATAATGATATTTGGAGAACAGTCGATGGTGTCTTGGATTTATGTTTGTAGTATGGAAACAGATTCATATGTTCCAATCATCGTGCTAGGAATGAAACTAATCTACATTTAAAAGTAATGAAATGGAGAAGTTTCTCTATTTTGCTTCATTAAACAAGTTTTTATGCTGCCATATGACTTATAAAGCTTCAATTTTAGCATAGAAGCCAAACCTTTAAAGGTGATATGTAAGTATGTACATTTTATTGATTTCAGGTCAGAGTAAATACTCGTCTTCTTTATCAGCAAACAAAGTTTAATCTTCTGCGTGAAGAAAGCGAGGGCTATGCCAAGTTGGTATGATAGTGATTAATTGACTTTGTTCTATGTTCTTATGTTTTTCTTCGTAGTTTGTTGCCTTGGTCGATTAGTTTCATGAGCAAACTCTCTTTCTCTCTCTCCACACACATATTTATGTTATACACGCATGTATGTATCAACTTTGTGTTACTTAGGTTTTACTCCATGTAATAACGTTAGATGCCAATTTGAAGGCTCTCTCAATGTGGAAGGTGTATGCTTATTCAATAACAAGCGCTTTAAGGAATGAGGCTAGCCAATGGAGATTTCCATGTAACAGAATGTGTGGGATGAGGTTTTACCTATTTCCAATATATTAGCTCTACTTCCTTTGGAGTGGCCTAACTTTCAATGAGAAAAAAAAAGAAAGAAAGAAAAGAAAAAGAAAATTGAAAGAATACAAGGGCATAAAAAAGACCCACAAAAGGAAGTCCCATTAAAGAAAGAGACTCCAATCAAGTAAAACAAGACTTAAAGTGTAATTACAAAAAAGTTTCGTCACTGACCCCACTGAGAAACATTAAACCTTGCTAGGGACCATACTTCAGAAATGTCCCTCAACTTCCCTAAAAGCTCTATTATTTCTCACTCCCTCAAGGCCCAACAACAAAGAACACAACCCAACTTGCCACAAAAATCTCTCATTTTCACACAAAGATTGATGGAAGAGGAACTCCTTGATTATGTACCTACAACATCTTTGTTTAACACATTGATTTCAAACTGCCCAAAGAAATAATCCCCAGATGGATTGCGTGAAATTGCAACTCCGCAACAAATGATCTAGGCCTTCTTCCGTCTTTCGACAAAGAAAGCAACAAAACAGGTAAAGCAACAAAGACGGCCTTTTCACAAGTCTATCAAGAGTGTTAATTCTTTTGTGGATAACCTGCCAAGTAAAAAAAATATTCTTCTTTGGAATTTCTACTTTCTACGTACAAGAAAAATAGACTTGTTCAACAACCTATGAAAGAAGAACTGCAAGAAAAGCCCTCAGATTGGCCAAGGCTCTGACATAAAAGATCTTTCCTCCCAAGCCTAAGCCAAGCCTCTTCCATCAATGAGAGAGGAGTCAGAATATCTGTCATCTCCTTATCGAACAATGCACGACAAAATTCAAACGAAAATGAGAGAGCTCTTAGGAAAAGACAAGGCATCAACCACGAAGCTATTTCTCATAGAAAATAAATGATACAAACAAGGAAACATAAAGCGAAGTGTTCCCCCACCCACTTATCTTCTTAGGAATACGTTTCCTTCCCCCATTGTCAATCGCTGAATGAACTAAGTCAAAAAAGAAGGGATCTCCAAGGCTATTTCTTTCTATGGGTTCCGGTAAGAGCCTTTGATCCCACTTGACTACCACTCAAAAGGATGAGGATTGTGCTTACTCATAATAACTCTTCACCAAGGGGAATTTCTATCGAGAGGGAACTGCAAAAGCCATTTTGCGAATAGTGCTCTGTTATGGACCCTAAGATTTGCAAGACTTAACCCACCAAGACTTGCTTTTCCACCATCTCTCAACTCATTAGGTGCGTTCTTCCCCACATTTCAACCCCTTCCCAAAGGAAGTCATGCATCAATTTCCCAGTTACCTTACACACCCCACATGGAACACAGAAAATGGAAAAAAGTAAATCAGGATTCCATCCTAAGAACAGACCTAATGAGTCATCCTACCCCACCACCTTCAGAGAAGAAGCTCTGTTTTCAAGAAGCCAATGTTTTTTTCTCAACTTGTCCACAAACATGATTCTAAAGACCAATCTTTTTGTTTTTCCTCGGGAGTGGTCGTTGAAAGCAATCATAAAACATAAAAAATGGAAAAAAGTAAATCAGGATTCCATCCTAAGAACAAACCTAATGAGTCATCCTACCACCACCTTCAGAGAAAAAACTCCGTTTTCAAGAAACCAATTTTTTTTTCTCAACTTGTCCACAAACATGATTCTAAAAGCCAATCTTTTTGTTTTTCCTCGAGAGTGGTCGTTGAAAGCAATCCAAAAGTTCTTTTGGTCTATGGCTACAACGAACAATTTGGAGTAGTTTTGAAGAGGGGCGATTGGGGAGTTGTCGTCCATGGAAGATGAAACTTAAGAGGCCATAAGGAAAGGGTGGGAGGTTGAGGAGGAAGAAAGAGAGGGGGTAGAGATAGTCCATCTTCTTACTAAAAGGAGAAATATGAAATTTCTTGATGAACTTGTCCGTAAACCTTTTATTTTTTTCGAAGACATTGGTATGAGGTGACGACACATCTATTTCTATAAAAGTAGGACACAAGTTCGTTGGGGACACTTTTTTACTTACAGAATTGCAGAATATAAATGTATGTAATGCTTGTAGTTGATTAAACACATGTAATTTAGCATAAATACCAAAATACATGACTCTGAAACATACAATATTTGAAGTGCTTAAATATATAGAATGATTTGGATTGCTATAGCTAGAGGAAGCATATCTGAGGTGACGACACATCTATTTCTATAAAAGTAGGACACAAGCTCGTTGGGGACACTTTTTTACTTACAGAATGTAGAATATAAATGTATGTAATGCTTGTAGTTGATTAAACAAATGTAATTTAGCATAAATACCAAAATACATAACACTGAAACATACAATATTTGAAGTGCTTAAATATATAGAATGATTTGGATGGCTATAGCTAGAGGGAAGATATGATCCCACGTTCCTAATATTTTTGGAATGATCAACATCTAAGGATTATACTCTGTTATAAAATCTCTATTTTTCTTCCCTTTTTAGTTTGGGCTAACATGGAAAAGTCCTCAATTTTTTTCTGGAGTTGTGCTCTTGCCCTATCCAAGCTTGTATCTGGCTTTGTCCAACTATATCTAAGCCGTGTCCAAAATTAGAGGAAAAAAATTAACATTGGACATTTTTTTAGTGGGCTGGACACATGTCTGAGTGGATCATGTCCAGATGAATTTGTGTTTGACACACATCCAACATGGACACTTGATCCTAAATAGAGTGTCTGACATGGAGTGTCCCTGCTTTCTAGGGTTATAGAGGTCCACAAAATATAATAAACCCAACCCTTGAACAACCTTTATCTTCCTAAAAATTGTCCAGAAGACTCCAACACTCAAAACCATCTAAAGCTTGCATGCAAATAGTTACCATCTTTTTTAAATTTACTTTGTTGGGAAAGCGATTGTAACTTCCGTTCATAATATATCTTTTTTTGTTAGGTTCCATTCATAATAATTGAAATAGCAAAATCATTGTTATAAGAGAGAGAATGTAAATTTCATTTTTCTGGTATGTCGTCATAAGGAGAGTGCTGCATGGGTATAATTTTGCAACAATGGTAGTAATCATCTAGACACCTAATCCCTGCTGCTTTTCCAGTAAATTTTGTGATCTTCATTCAGTTTGGTCAAGTAATCTGATTGAATTATTTTAATTCTTGGACCATTGCTTTGAAGAGAATCCAAAATTTTCTGATCAATAATACTGACTATTGCTGCAATTTGGACACGAGAGCAGTGTAGTATTTTTGGTAGGATGTCCAGGAATGAGCATTGTATTGAGAGAAATAGTGTACTCCTTGACCTCTTGATAGAACTCCTATTCTATTTCAAAAAATTTTATATTTAAGTGGTGTTTAATATTTTTACTTCCTATAGTTATACCTCCCTCATTACAAATTGGAAGGTCTTTTGTAAACACTATGAATTATACATCCTTTTTGTGAATTTCGATCATCAATGAAATTCTCTTATAAAAAAAAAAAAAAAAAAAGTAGGTGGAGTTCCTTTGAAATCTATTTCTTCGATACAGTTGGAGACAGTACTTCTGTCTTCCACATTTTTATTCATGGTTTTGGTTTGCCTATTAAAACAAAGAGAGTGATTCTTTGTAATTTCTTCTTGTGAATTTGTATTTTATCTACTGAGATGCTTGACTTAATCTGTAGGTAACACTTCTTTGCCATGTCACTGACGCTTCAAATAAGAATTTGCCGGGTTCAACAATTGGTATTATAAAGGTTGGCAGTGAACTTCCACATCAAGTCTTTTCTCTTTCTCCATCTCTAACGCGCACACACACACAAGGATATCAAATTTGTTTTTCTTCTATGCATATATATATATATATATTTTAAATCTGTTCCAATTTTTTGATCTTTAAACTTTCTGCAGTCATTGATTGGGCATTTTGATTTGGACCCAAACCGCGTGTTTGACATTGTGAGTCATTCGCTTGTTCATTTTTTTTATTTTTGATTTTCTGTTTACCTTCTTCCTTTTATTTGTTATTTTTTTAAAGAAGTTCACTGTGCTAGTTTTAAAATTATTTTGATGCCTTTCTATCAGGTCTTGGAGTGTTTTGAACTTCAGCCAGAAAATAGTGTTTTTGTGGAGCTAATTCCAATATTTCCCAAGGTAGAGACGCTTAGGAGTTATGACAAGTTGACTTAGATAATCTTGCTCTTGCTGATATATGAGCTCTTAAAGTTTCTCATGATATTATGATTTTCGGCAGTCTCATGCTTCACAAATCCTTGGGTTCAAATTCCAATATTATCAGCGCATTGAAGTGAACTCGCCAGTGCCAGTTGGGCTTTATAAACTTACAGCTTTACTAGTGAAGGAAAAATTTATTGATCTGGATAGCATGTAAGTATTTTTTTTCTTTAATGCTAGTTTCAGTTTAGTACAAATCATTTTGTTTCTTTATGTTTATTTCTGAATCTAGCCTTGCATTTTCTTGTGTCTGTTATTGCTTGAACACGTTGGAAGTGCCCTTGGAAAGCTTTATGGAGAGTGTTGTTTCATCGTGTAAACTTAAGGTGGAGTAGATTTGAAATGTCCAGTACTGATTGATTTTGGACATGCGTTTTTTAGTAGGGAGCATGTGTTGCAGGGAGTTCATTTTTGGAAAGTCCTGTAATGTGCTGATGCGAATCTTGAAGCAATCCCATAGTGATAATTATACTATTATTATTGGGATGGGGGGGCTGATGCTGAGTTAGTTGAAGTGAATCTTTTAGAAATCTAGCAGCCTTTTCGTTTTAAATGTCTAATCAGATTACAGTTATGCCTGGGGCTCACGTTTATTCTTGTTGTAGCCTTCGACTGGTATAACAGCCAGTAGTTCCATAGTTACTTCTGTTACACATCAAAAGGTTAGCTAGCTGTAAAAGAAGTTAGGATGAACATATCTCTTAGAATTACAAAAAAGAACCATTGCATCAGTATTGTATTGGCGTTAATCTAATGGTGTCGTCAACCCATGAACAGGCAGGCCAATGTTATATGGCCTACACTGGGGCCTCAAGATCCCTTAGACGAAGGCCCATGACATGAATAGAGATCAGGACTCAGATTATCACTATTTGGAGCACACTTCAGTCCAATGAGAGGGCCCCCATATATTGATGGCTTCCTTAGTTGGAATTATGTATTCATCGTCATGATAAATGTAGACGTGACAATAGTTGAAACATTATGATGATACATGTTCACTCTTTGTTAGCATACATAATATCCTGGGAGGAATGGTATATCAATGTTGGTATTTAAGTTAAAACGAATGTAGATGTAGAAAGCACCCTATTTTAATCGACAGGCAATTCACAGTGGTTATTGATGAAAAAACTACAAGGAAAAGGTACACTATTAAATGGATCATGAAGATTAATCAAAGGTGTGACTGATGGAAGAGGTGTAGTAGAATCAAATATGCAAGTGATGCTTATAATGCTTAGAATGGTGAATATGAAAGGAAGGCTTGAGCAAGCCAAGATGTGGTACTAGTTGATTGTTGGCCACCACAATTTTACTAATAAGGATAGCTTGGGTCAAGGTGCGTAAAAGAAGTGTGGAGTCGGCCATATAGAATATGGGTGACTTTGTGGTTAAGGAGCCAACTGCATGTGTCTGTCCTTTGGGTGTGGGCATTGAGGCACTTTTGATGATAAGAATTATGGTGGAGGATTTTTCTGACTATATTTTGAAGGTTGTTAGACACTAGATATTGTGTTGGGAAGTCTAAGATGCATTTGGTTAATGATCTAAAAACAAACCTCAATAGAGATTCAGAGAAAAACAAAGTTGTATCTCATGTTTTCAATGTTTTTGGATGTGTTTGGAAATTGGATTCTAATTTGAACAATGGTTCCAAATATGTTCAATAATATATTTTTAAATCACAAAAGTAGTTCTAATTTCAAATTAAATATGATTTATTAATTTAGGAACATGTGTTATGTTATAAATTTTGTATGATTATTATTTTACAATATCAAACCACCATGGGTTGGCTTGGTGGTCAAAAGTGACTACGTAAATAATAATAAAGTGCTAAGAGAGAATGAATTCAAGCTTGGTGGCCACCTATACTTAGGATTTAAAATGCTATGAGCTACAACCAAATGTAGTAGGCTCAGGTTGTTGTCCCGCGATAATAGTTGATGTGCACGCAAGCCAGCCTGGATGCTCATGGATATCATTAAAAAATTACAAAACTATATGATTTTAATATTTTATAGTATATATATTTTAATCTAACAAAAATGAAACAAAATTGGATAGATTCCTTGTATTTCCTTTTGCTACTTTTGGAATAAATCCCAAGTATTCTTGTGAAAACAAGTTATTATTCCACCTGACCTCTCATCCACTATTTCTTTATCTCGCTTATCCTGCATCATCTGGTGTTTTAATCATAAAGTTGTATCTCAAATTTTTCTTTTTTTTTTTTTTTTTTTTTTTTTTTTTTTTTTTTTTTTTTTTTGTAAGAAACAATTTGAGTCATATACTTCTCTACTTTTTGTTCATTTTAGATTTTTATTTCTGTAGATATGCACATCTACTTCCTAAGGAGGAGGAGGCATTTGAGCATTATGAGTCCTTTTCTTCCAAACTACTTGATGAGGTACTGCGATTGAGTAAATTCTAGTTAGCATATTCGTTACTTTATTCTTTAGTCTATGTCATATAAATTCACTTTGATTAGGACTTTATGACCTAGTTAGTTTTTCTTGCATCTTGGTAGGCTACTTTGTGTACTGAGTTTGTGGCCTATTTTTTTTTAACCAATTAGATACTTATTTTTGTCACTCTTCTTGGCACAAACCCTTAATGTCTTTTTTGATGATGAGTTGGTCGATGGGGGAGGAGAAGTAAAATTGAATTCTTATTTTCAAGTCAGACATGATAAAGCTGAATGTAACTTTGTACGCGGGAAAAAGAAAGATAGAAGTGCCAATTGGTGCTTCTTCTTGCAATGAATCAGGCGGGCGGAATTTGTTCTTGTTTACATTTGAGGGGTGGGTATTCCTCGTTTCTGGCCAGGTTGTAGTCGTTGTTCCTGCACACATACTTATTTTATAGAAAATAAAGTAAAAAATCTTAAATATTTATTTTTATTTTCTCTCATTCTCTTAGCCTCATTTTTTCTCTTTTCAAGTGAAATTGTAAATATATATTTTAATCTTTTCTCATTTTTTAAAAAAAGAATTGTTATTGGGGAAAATCCACGTAAAATTTAAAGAGAAATTGCATGTGATGGAGAATGATTTCAGGGGAGGGGATCGGGAATGATTTAGGGTAAGGGAACTGGATGGGGAAGGCATGTCATCCCTATCCCGCTTTGTTAACACTCCTATATACAGATGTATTTTCACATTTTTGATGGAAAATAAGAGGCATTCATTAATGGACTCTTATCTCCCATTCTGTTTGCTATAGTTTCCAATTGCAGCTGCTTGTTGTCCAAAGTTGTGGAGAAGGGGCTGCTTGAAGTTTTTGTTACAAGTAGAGATGACATACATCTAAATCATTTTCAATTCACAATTGAAGGCCTTTTATTTCTCATTCGAAACAAGGAAGAACTTTCTAACCTCTCAACATTATATATTTTTTTTTTTAACAAGATCAACTTTCATTGGTAGGTGAAAAGATACAAAATCATCAGGGAAACCATCTTGAAAAGGAGAGAAGCAAGAACCCACTGCAAGCCCTAGAAAATAGGGCCAAAACAACCACCACCAATCCAAAACCGAATGAGAAAGCGTGCCAAACACCTTCAAATTAAACCTAACAAAAAAATAAGTAAATAAGGAGTTCAAAACCAAACACCCAAAGAAAATGAAACGTAGCTAAGATCATCTTGTCCTCTCATAATCCAAAACTAAAAGTTGGTCGCTAATGTTGATAAAAACAACTTGGATAATTTGATAGATCAAATGAATCCAATGGATCATCTTCAAGATTAAAAGGATTGGGATAATCGCTGCATATAGCCATCTTCAAGTCGCAAGCCCAAAGAATTGTCAATAAAAAGCTCATCTTCAATTTGGAAACAATAAAATTATCAATTAAAATTTTTATCTTCAATCTCATTGAGTATAGAAATTAACCATCTCCAAAGAAATCTTCAAACTAGGCACCTTTGTGGATTTTGAACCAATTTTTGAAGCTTCCCTTACAGACTTCACGAATCCTAAGTGTTAATGAGTTGAAAATTGTTTTATTGATGCCTATGTTTTGTCTTATTCCCCAAAAAAGGGACATATTCTTCATTTCATCCAATCCTTGAGAATATTTCTTTGAAAATTGTTTTATTCAAGTCTATGTTTTGAAGTCTATGTTGTTTCTGTTGAAGATTTGTCGGATATTAATAATTCTCTCTGATTAAGTTGTTGGCATTTATTTTGTTGATTCCTCTCTCATCATGTATTTTGTAATTAAATAGTTTTTTTCTAAACCAATCTCTCTTGTCATGCCGTTGGTTTGTCAAAATTTATTTGAATTTCAAATGGTTTCTTGGAAGAAGCCTTTTTTTTGTCTCTGTTTGAGGTAGTTGTCTTTGAAGAATTGTGAGGTTTTTATGGTTTGTCAACATTTATTTTGTTGGTTCAAATTTCAAAAACTTTTCTCGGAAGATGCTTTTCATATCCATCACTTATTCCAGTTTTTCAGTGGCCTTAATGGTTAGTCCAAAATTTCCTCCGTTTTCAAGAAGATTATTATTGTTTTTAAGTTCTTTATTTTGTATTTTTTTTTTCTTTTATTATCACTTCCTTTGAAAGTTTGTAATCCTTGAACATGCTTTCCTTTTTATTATTTCAATGAAAAGTTGTTTCTCGTTATTTTTTTTTTCCAATCTAACCTTCAAAAAACCTAGATAAAAACGCATTAGAGTTTTCAACAATGATTTCTCTAAGGAAAGATATTACTTTGTCACTCGAGGTGTTAGGTTAAGAGACAAGGAGGAGGTTAGTATAGACTGGAAAGCATTTATCCTTTGGAAAAGTAGTTGTGGGTGGAAGGTGATCGTAGAAGAAAATGGGCGAAGACAGGTGAAAAGTCTTGAATTGGAGGTGGTAAGGGTGGCATGGTTGGGGAATTGTCTTTGGGATATCTCTAGCCTAGCAAACTTAGTGCGTGGAGAAGGTCGGATTTGCTGATTATCTTTTTCTTCATTTCGAATAAGAAGGGCAAGTTCAGGTCAGAAATATCTAAAGGGAAGAGAAGTGTGGTTTTCATTCAAGAAGGTCACAATTGTAGAGATTGGCATGGGTTGTCTTTGGCCTTGACGAAGTTTCTTCCTACTGCCTCTCTATCAGGAGCAAAGAAAGTTGGGCATATGGTTGTTGGACCAAGTAAGACTTTGGGGGAGGTTGTGTCAGTTTTTGATTCATAGGTGGATTTTACTTTCTTTCATTCTTTGGTGGTCGTTGTTGGGAGATTGAATGGGGGTGTGGCATGGTTTAGAATTAAAGAAGAGGTGGAGAAGAGGTTTTAGATTGGCTTTGTGTTAAATCCTTCAATAGGAACATTGTGGTGGATGTTTGTGGGTTCCCGAATGAAACAATGGCCATTGTGCAGGGGCAATGAGAATTGCGTCGAAGGGATACTATTTATGTTTGGAACTTCAAGTTTGTTGCATAGGCTGTCATTTTCGTAAATTTGAATACACATTATGCTGGGTTCACAGTTTTGGTTACTGTTCTCATAAAATTAATGTTCCTCCTAATTGGTTACTTAAAAATGTTTTTACAGTATAATGTCATTGCGCTGGGTTCATTTGTTATGGCTTTATTTGTGATTTGCACTCAATAGGATACCAAAATCGTGCAAGGTATACAATGAGGCTTGTTACTGTTTTCATTTTTCGTTTTGAGAGATTATTTTTCTTGAATGCATTGTTTTCAAAAGAAAAGTTCTTTTGAATTTTGGCTTAAAGTTATTTATTGGCAGTTTTAAAGGTTTCACGGTGCGTTTTAAACTCATGAACTGTTCTTTAAAAGAGCAGGAGAGCTGAACTTATAAATGGCTTGCTGTCACATTGTTTCCAGTAGTTAACTAGTTGTACAGTTTACTAGCTAGTTACTCAGACAGGTAGCTTGATGGCTACATGCCAGTTTCTATACACTCGAATGTATGCCTTTGTAAATGGAATTTGATTCCAGTTTTTATAGTGAGTTAGAAGCTTAGACTAAGCAGTTAAGTTAATTAATATTATGTCCCCCTTTTCCCCACGGCTTCTTTTTTATGTTAATGTATTGTCGTGAACTTGAATTAATGTCTACAGGCTAACAGAATAGGTAAAATAAATCTTGCGGCAACGGGAAAAGATCTAATGGATGATGAGAAGCAAGGAGATGTAAGCATTGATCTTTTTGCTGCTCTTGATATGGAAAGTGAGGCAGTCAATGGAAGGTCTCCAGAGCTGGAAAATAATCAAACATTGGGCTTGCTTACAGGATTTCTTTCTGTGGGTGACTGGTATGTAAAATTTTATTTTCTTCACCTTGCATGGTGTTATATATGTTTGTCTTCCGTCTGTCTGTATATTTGTAACAATGAAATGCCAGCTTTGATGTTGCTTTGGTTACCTGTTGGACTCCACTTCTTTTAATCAGCATCTGTGCATGAGTTACAAAGAAACATCTATGCATGGGTTAGTGGGAACGTTCTTTCTCTCCATTCTGTAATTGGTTACGTATTAATTATTTTCCCCGATTATACATGTGCGAGTGAAATAAAATGGAGCATTTTCTCCTGACATTAAGCCAAATGGCATGTGTTGAAAAGTGAAATTGTTGAGGAATTAATGGGTCGCTTAGGTGTTCAGGCTAGAATTTGAAATTTGGGTAACTGCTTTGGTGTCTCTGTTTGTTGATTTCACCACCTATGGTTGTTGGAACGAGCCACACATGAGCCTCATTCATTGCCAAAAGTATCATATCAGTACCATACTCTGGTGTGAGTTCACATTTGAGCTGTTCATTTCGCCTCCACTTGTTCTCGATGTGTCTTTTGATATACGCCCCATCTGTTTTCTTGGTTAGGACAAAGTACCCCCAAGTGTGGGATCAGTTTTAATATGTCATATTTTCTTATTGTTCAGTTCACTTTTTGGTGCATCCAAATTAAATTGTTGCCATATTCCTTCTTGATACTAATAGCCTAGAAAGAAGTTCTTGGTAATGTTTGAAGAATGAAGTGGTCAATTTTATTAGCCATGAGGGATTGGTACAAGATCTATTATGTGCGATGTACCTTCTTATAGCTAGAAATAGTCGGGAGTACCTTACAAATTGTGTTAGGGAGTTTAATTCAAAGATTTACAAAGATTAACATGTTGTTATGATTAAGGATATATACTAAAGTTATTCGACCTGGGCACACATGGGTATTTTAAAACAATGAAGTTGCAAAGAGAAGCAGGAAACTTCCATCCACCCAATATGGTTCCAGAAAAAGATCTCCAAAATTGAGACTAGAGAGGTAAGAGTGTAACTAGAAAAATGTGGTGGACACTTGCACCAATAAAAAGCTATAGAAAGAATGTGATCCATAATACAGTGAATGGAGATTCCACATTATTGATAACCCGAGAATTTCGTTCACGCCCAAATATCCAAAGGCACTGTTGATGGCACACCATATCAGCTGCTTGACCCCTTTGAAGGGATTCCCCCCCAAAGATTGAGATAAGATCATGAATATTACTTGGCATGACCGAGGACCAACCCAAGGCTTCCAGGATCATATTCCAGTAGTTTTGAGCACAAGGAAAATCAATAAAAATATGATAGGATGATTCTGAGTTTGGTTAATACCTAACACACCATTGTGGTCAAAGACAATGATAAGACACTCTTCATTGATGCTTGTCTCTCGAAACCTCCCTGAAGATTCCAACGGCCATGTTTGAGTATCAATTACATCTTTAAAAATCACCACAAAGAGTAAACTGGAAAGTGAAGCCTTTTTTTTTTCTTTTGATAAGAAACCGAGCTTCCATCAAGAAAAAATGTTACAATACAAGGGAATATAGAAAAACTAAGTCCACAAAAGAACCCAACGAAAGTTAGGGGTTCCAGTCAAGTAAAATAGGACCTACGAAATAATCACAAAAGACCTTGATTTGATCATAAAAGACCTTTGTCACGGAAGGTGAGAAGAAAACATAGAATCTGATAAGGGACCAAACATCACAAGGGGACCTTTTACTCCCTCAAAAGATTTTATTATTTCTCTCCTCCCATAAACCCCGCAAAGTAGCACAAACCACCGCAGTCCATAAGAAACGCCCCTTCTCGCTAAAAGGCGGATGGAGAAATAACTTCTCAATCATCTCCCTAACACCTCTATGCCTGACAGACAGAATATCAAACACATCAAAATAGAAGTTAAAAACCAACTGAGCCAAGTCACAACTCTGTAGGGAATGATCAGACTCTCCTCTGCCTTCCAACAAAGAATTCAACAAGAAGTCCTTGCCAACTGAGATGAAAATTTTGAGAGTCTATCTAAGGTGTTAACCCTTCCATTTATCTAAATCTTCTTTGAAACTTTCACCTTCCATAGACTCGAAAAACCCACTCTCAAGTCAGAGAGGGATCTGCCAAACAATGAAAGAACAAACTACAAAAGAAACCCCAAAGGGGTTTAAACTCCAAAAGTGAACATCCCTTTTGCCCCGTCTTAAGTACAATCAAACAAGAGAAAACGGGGAGCTCAAAAGAACTTTCTTTCCATGGATTTCTATTAGAACCTTTCACCCCACTGGACCATCACTTGAAAGGACGACAACCGCTTTTACTCGCAACAATTCAATGCCAATGATTACTAGCCTCAGGGGGAAACCTCCTTAGCCATTTGGCCAATAAGGCTTTGTTTCGGTTCCATAAGTTCCCTATTTCTAACTCCTCGTGTTATGGGCTTTCCCACAGTTTCCAAACCCACGAAGTGTGCACTTCTCCCTTCATCAACCCCTTCCCAAAGGAAATCCATTATAAGCTTCTCTAGGGAGTTACAATTGACATGAGAGGCTCTAACGAGAGAGAAGAAATAAGTCAGGATGCGGCTTAGGACTAAAGGGAGGAAAAACTTCCTTTTTCAAGAGGCAAGTCTTTTGTACAACTTCTAAAATAACAGGTTTCAGAAAGGGATGGTTCTTGGATTATGCTAAGGGGGAGGCCTAGATAAGAGGAAGGAAAAGACCCACCTCAACCTACAAAATTAACCCATCTACTTACCAAATCAGGGTCGCAATTGAGGTTCCTATGTGATTCAGTAGAAGGACTCCTTACCTGAGCAAAATAAAATAATATCGTCAACAAATTGAAGATGGACCAGGAACAATTCCAACTTCAGCCCTCGTTGATAACTCCTTCCGCCCCATTCGAGACAATCCTACTGTGAGCGTACCACCTCCAGAAGAACAAAAGAAGAAGCAAGCCTGTTCTATTGTTTCATCCTCCTTTAAACATTTGCAAAAGCCCAGAATCCATGAAGATGAAGATTGTACGCTGTGAAGCTTGAAAATTTTGAGAGAGGATATAATTCTGGATAAGATAGAGCCAGGACTGAACTTCCTAGCCAACGATCTTGCAAAAAAGAGATGCTTTACTATGTTTTAATGATAAAACCAACATGTGAATCGATAATTTGATGCTCCTTTTTTAGAAATTTTGCTTCAAGTTCTGTTACTATCTAGCATATTCTAATATTCACCTTCAACGATTTGAAGTGCATTCTGCTTGTGACAGTTTCTGGGGATATTGTGGAACTCCGTGATTTAACTTGGTGCTTTTAAAGTGTGTTGCAATTTTGATTTGTGGCACATTTATGCCAATTAGGTTTTTTTTTTTTTTTTTTTTTTTTTTTTTTTTTTTTTTTTTTTTTTTTTTTTTTTTTTTTTTTTTTTTTGTAATCATATTTTTGCATGACATGAGTGATGTAGGATTGTCTTTAACCGTGTGTGGTTATTGTTTTACCACTCTTCTTTTAATTTAAAGATGCTTATTTCTTATCGAGCTTTTTCATGTGGTAGGCTTCCGTTATTCAGTTAGTTTGTTTATTTCAGTGGGTTTATTTTTACTGCCTACATGTTTGGCTGCTGTAATCATTTTTTAGCTTAGTGGAACATTTGTGAATTCTTTGGAAACTTGATGCTGAAGAAATAAACCTAAAAAAATGTTTCATTAACCTCAAAAAATTATTACAGCAGCCGAATATATAGGCTGGAAAAATGACCTCACTAAACTAACAAACTAACCCAATAACTAAAGCCTTTTACCACAGGTTAAAAGCTTGTCAAGATATAAACATTTTTATAATAAGAGAAGTGTGGAAAAACAATTAACCACACACGGTTGAAGAAAAGGATCAAGAAAGAACAAAGATCTCAAAAATCCTACATCATTTAGTCTATAATACAAATTTCATATCCTATAAAAGAAAAATTGGAGCTCTCACCTCTTAACCAAGCAGAATGTAGCTTCATCTGGTTTATTCTTTTTCCCTGTCAGGTATCATGCACATGTACTGTTTAATCGGCTTTTACCTCTCAATCCAGTGGAACACCTTCCAATCTGTAACTGTTTGTTTAGGTAATTCTGATTTCTTGATAGTGTATATTGATACACATGCACATGAGTCTGGATTCCAGTATCGTTTTCTTTGGTGTGTTAGGTTCATTGAAGAATCGATCTCCTCTGCGTACTCTATTGTTCGTCAACATTATTATCAGAGCTTTGGGACCTCTTCAGGAGCTAGCATTGATACCAGGAATTTGCCGGTTGGTGGTTCTTTTATAGATCTTCCGAGGGAACTTTTTCAGATGCTTGCAGCTGCTGGACCTTATCTCTACCGTGATCCAATTTTGCTGCAGAAGGTAACTTGTTTGTCCATTTTTCCCTCCTTTCACCTCTCATTATCCTTCTCTAATAATTTCCAACATGATTTTTTTTGGCAGGTCTGTAGGGTGCTGCGAGGTTATTATATGTCGGCAATTGAGTTTGTCAACAGTGTGGAAAGTGGTTCGAATCCTGAATTTGTTCTGCAAGCTGGTAGCCGGGTTCCTCATCTTCACTTGAAGGAAGCTAGATTGAAAATTGTGGAAGCTTTAGGAATGTGTATACTTCCTTCGTTACAGTTGATACCTGCCAATCCAGCTGTTGGTCAAGGAATATGGGAAGTAATGAATCTTCTTCCGTATGAGGTATACCATTGTGTCAGTACCATTTGCTTCTAACGAAGGAATTGTTCATTTATAATTGAAAACCTTGAATGATTGTTCCTCTCTTTTGTATTATAATCCAATCATATTTCTTTTGATCTAAAATATTTTGCATTACTAGGTGCGGTATCGGTTATATGGTGAATGGGAGAAAGATGATGAGAAGATTCCAATGGTTTTGGCTGCAAGGCAAACTGCAAAGGTATTCGTTAGTTAATATTTTATTTTTTATTTTCCTCGATAATTGTTCAGAATCAGGTAAACCCCGATCAACTACTTCTCAGTTGGACACACGGAGGATTTTGAAGCGGTTGGCTAAGGAAAATTTGAAGCAATTGGGTAGGATGGTTGCAAAACTTGCTCATGCCAATCCCTTGACTGTCCTTCGCACAATATTACACCAGGTGTTGTTTGAGTTAGCTACATGCAAATAGATACATCTCTTTTTCCTGTTTTTTAGAGTAGAGATCATGATGAAAATGACATTCTGCAGATTGAGGCATATAGGGATATGATTACTCCTGTAGTAGATGCATTCAAGTATCTGACTCAGGTATGTATAATTCTCTTTTTCCGTGGATACATTTGGTAAATATAATTTTCAAGATTTTTTTTAATAATATTTTTCGTTTTATTTGATTTATGCAGCTTGAGTATGACATATTAGAATATGTTGTGATTGAACGTTTGGTGCAAGGAGGGCGTGATAAGTTGAAGGATGATGGCCTTAATTTGTCAGATTGGCTCCAGTCATTAGCTTCGTTTTGGGGTCACCTGTATGTTTCTCCTTTCTCTCTCATATGAAATACTTCCGAGGTTTTTTATGCTGATTTCTGCTGCTTTGGACGTGTTTTGCTCTTTTTAGGACACTTGCAATCAATTTTGTAAAAGATGAATTTCAAATATTGATTTGTCTACTTGGATTTGGTCTAGGAAACGTTCCACACTAATTTGTGGAATGCTAGTTGAAACTTTAGGTTGTTATTGATATTTTTGAGTTTTGTGTGTTCTAATCCTTTTCTGCTTTAAGTGATTATTTAATCAGTTATCATTTTCAACTGTTGCTTTGACATGCATTGCAGTCTGTGTTTTTTCATGTTATTTGTCCTTGGTTATTCCTGGAATGCCAATTCAATATCCCGGTTGCTGCATACACCCCCTGCAAATGTTGATCAGTTAAACAGATGGTGTTGTGAACAACTCAACTTTTGTATCTTGATTAGCTATTTCAGATCTGTTCCAACTACTTACGCTTGCTTCCTGGGATATGCTCTGTGAACTACATGCATGGCATTTTTTGGGCCGCCGCTGTATGATGAAAGATTTAAATTGGGTTATATGACTAGTCACTGGATCATCGAGACTGAAATTGGGTTTCAATTTCCCTTTCAAGTTCATGATATGGTAGTTTGGGAGGGGAAGGAACCTGGTTTTTGCTCAAGACATGGGGTGTGATAGGTTGAAGTTCGTATTTCAAGCCATTCTCTTATGCTGCCTTTGTTCAAGATCTGCTGAGATATTTCAAGTTATCAACATATTGATAAAAAATGTGTAGAGAAACAAAGTAACGAGGTCACAGATTCTATTTATGTGGAAGGGAGTAATTTATATGACCTAATATGTCAAATGGGTTTAGGTCATAACTAATTCAGTGAGAATGAAGGTGAATTTCTATTTTGTTGACTGCATTGTCTCCAGAGTCGTTTAAATTGGAAAGAGAGGTGCTATTAACTGCTCTTGTGAAGAATATTGTCATGACCTTCAGAAATTGATTAGGGTCGGGGGCTCTGGAGTTCCTTAATTATATTTAATCACATGAAGATGCTAGTTTCACCTGGAGTTGTAAATTTTCAATTGGATTTGTCATCTTGAAGATCTTTTATCAGTTTTGATTGCTTCAACTTTCTGAGTTGTCAATTTCTTTGAGGATTTTGAAATTTTGACATGGCTATACTGGTAGAAAATTTCGCATATCAGCTAGTCACTCGAAGCATGCAATTCTTTTCCAAAGAAGACGTTCTTCAAGGAATATCTTGTCTATTTGCCTGCATTGGTTGCAGCTTTATGCCAAGTCGGGATGTAATGGGTTTCATAGTTGTACATTCAATGTATGCAATGCTTTCTGATGAATAGTGTATGGAACATATAAAAAGGGATTGGAGGATCGACTGAAGTAAAACAGAAACTGAGTAGAGTCAATTGGGAAGTTCTGTGCCACTATTTTTTATTTGAGCTCTTATTGAAATCTTCTTGAAAGATTTGAGGCTGGTCAGACGTCCAAGGAATGAGGATTGTTAAATGGGACGTGAACTTTGCTTTCTTTTTCTTTTACTGCCTAGGTAATCATGTTATGTACATACATAATATTAACAAAAGAAAAACATATGATTGCACTATATATAAAAGTAGTCTTGACTGCAACCAGCCTGTAGGGTTTTTGGCAACAAGTCAAATTATGGATTATTTGTCATATCCTTTAGATTTATCATGTTTTGTTGAGAGTACCTTATCCTCTTTACCGTTTACAAATTTTTTTAACTTAACATATGTGCTTGTTCTGGAGGAAGAAAAATTATTTAAGTTTTTTGGACACTTTGCACATTCATTGCTTCTAATTTCTTCAATTAATGTTCAATCTGGGTATATATAGTAATCTTTAGAGACTACGATTTGGCTCAAGTTTGAAATGAGATCTCTCTGATTTTCTTTGTGCAAGTAGTTCCTAACTATTTCCTTTTATTACACACTAGAAAAATGTTAACATTCCTACTAGAATATTCATAGAAGGAAGCTATCCATTTGATCAAATTCCTTGGTTTTGTATATAAATTTGTGCTACGTATGCATGATGCAGATAACTTAAAATTCATGTTTCCTTGTCAGTATATGCATTGAGTATTCTGTAAAATGTTCCGGTGGCGTTGGTGGCGTTGTTACTACATTCATTTGAGTAATGTGAAGTTGGTTACCAGAGTTTTGAATGTATTTTTGAGTTGCATGTTACTAGTTTCATTCTATTTATATTGGACTGATATGATTCGCCTGTTGCCTTTTCTTTTCTTTAGTATATTGTAGAACTTTGATTTTTATCATTGAAAATGTGGAACCTTTGTTCTTAAATAAAAATGGAGCTTTTGTTTATGTGCATCTTTAGAAGACCCTGTTGTTATTATGGAGGTGGATGCACAACGTTTTTCTTATTTGGGAAAGGACAAGAGTGATCTTTTATTCTCGGTGCATTTCCATTTCTAGTCAACTCTTTCTAGGTGATCTTGTCCTTCCCTCGTTATGTAAGGAACTGTGGAGGTTGAAAAACCCTTGAAAAGATAAAGTATTTGTTCTTGTGTATAGATAATCATAAAACAGAAAAACCTGAGGAAACAGCAGGATTTGCCCTTACTCTATCTGGTACGATGTTTACAAATGAAAAAGAAAGAACATAAGAACTTCCATATTTGGATAATTTGTTCCTTCTTTCCAGTGGCACTGACTCAATGGTTTAGCCTTTTTTATATTTGATTCGCTTTTCCTTCCACCTCCAAGACTTTGTAATTTTTAGGTCTCTTACTTAATTGTTTTGGTTTCTTGTTCCTTTCTTTCCCTTTTGGAGTTTGGATTCTTGAACCTTTTTTCTTTCTTTGTATCCATTAGTGAAAAGTTTTATTTGGCATTAAACAAAGAGAGCCATGAACCCAGTTTCAAAGATAGGATTGAGCAATTGGGTGAAGGGTTTTGTTCTGTCCTTGGAGAAGTTTAGCTAGAATGCAGAAGAATTATTTTTAATGATGTTAAGTTTACTGTTGACTAAACTCAGGGTGTGATATGTTGGTATATTAGGTCAAATCTGTGTTGTAATTACTCCATTGCTTCTATGTAGAGTAATTTGAGATATCCATAGCTCCTTTGTAAATTTCATATATATCAATAAGGAGGTTTTATGTTTTCTTACCTCTCTCTGTTCTGAAATATTTTCATGTATTCTATTGTTATTAATTTTTTCTTTGGTTTTAAATTTTCATGCTTGTATATAATGTAGCATTATTTATTGAGATGCTTACGAACATTGTAAAATGTAAAATTGGATTTTAAGATGTGCAAACTGTGTCATTTTTTTAAGGCAAAGTAATTCTCTATATATTTATGCTTCTTTTTATCATCAGATACTTTGTTCTTTTGTCTCCTATAGATGCCATAATTTACTGTTTAGTTTTTTTGTAAATTTTCTGCTGGTAGGTGTAAGAAGTACCCATCTATGGAGCTAAGGGGTTTGTTTCAGTATCTCATTAATCAGTTGAAAAAAGGTCAAGGAATTGAACTTGTTCTCCTGCAGGTACTTCTCAGATCTGGAAGGGGTGCTTTGTATTAGTCATGTGGCCCAACATTTAGATATTTTACCGCTTCAATGGTTTGTTACTTGACTAAAAGTACTTGGATATCTTTTTGTAACATAATCAGGAACTTGTTCAACAAATGGCCAATGTCCAATACACAGAAAACCTAACTGAGGAACAGTTGGATGCTATGGCAGGAAGTGAGACACTTCGTTATCAAGCAACTTCTTTTGGGGTTACTCGAAATAACAAGGTGCTGTGTTGATGGACAATATAATTTCTTCCCCTTTCTTAATTCGAAACTGATCACTATTGAAGATACAAACATAGATATTTGACCTAAGCTCCAAAGAGCTATGTACTTTAGCATGTCATTTTAAAAGAAATACTGATGTGATCTAGACATCTTATCAGATTAATGCATATGTATAGATATTTGAACCGGGTACTTCTTGTGTTCTAGTTGTAATTTCACTCTGTTATCTGAAAGTTACTTACCATTTCTACTACAAGGCATGAGGGTTGGTTGATTAATTTAGAATTATTATATCATTCTATTTTTGCTTAATCTATTATGATCTGCTGTCAATCCTTTTTCTGTCAGAAGAAAAGAATAACCGTCATAATTTTAATATTTTTGGTTTCCCATCATAAATAATGCAAGTCCCTTTAAAATTTTGTTCTTTCTTTTCTTTCACTCCTTTTGGAGTTTGTACCTTTTAAATATTAGTTTTTTTAATTATAAGTTTCGTTTCTTGTTATAAAAAATAATGCAGGCGTTGATCAAGTCAAGCAACAGACTGCGTGACTCCTTGCTTTCTAAGGATGAACCAAAATTGGCAGTCCCTCTCTTGCTACTTATTTCTCAACACCGTTCAGTGTATGCTTTATTACTTTCTTTGTAGTATGCAAATTCGAGGACATTGTATGTATCTGCTTGATAACAAGAAGGGTCCTAGAACCAGTTAACTCCTGATTGGGCTGTCACTGCTATTCAATTATGATTTCCATTATCACTGCTATTCAATTATGATTTCCATTATCACTGCTATTGCTCTAAGAGTATCATAATTCAACGGCTTGAGACAGTCCATTGATATATTTACCTGCTACTAGCCTGCTTTTAATGCAATGCTACGCTACTATAATTTGTTCTATTCGTCTTTTGTCTTGCCGCAAGCTCTTAGTTGTATCTTAATATTTTGAAATATGTGGACTAATTATTGTTTCCTTCAGGGTTGTCATAAATGCAAATGCTCCTTATATTAAGATGGTCAGTGAACAATTTGATAGATGTCATGGAACTCTGCTTCAATACGTGGAATTTCTTAGTAGTGCAGTTACGCCTGCATCAGCTTATGCTCAGTTGATTCCCTCTCTCAATGAGCTTGCCCAGCTTTATCACCTAGATCCCGAGGTCTGTCTGTGTATGTGTGTGTCATTGTTCTGTGTTCTTGGGTCTCTGTTTTTATGTCTGGTTTGTGTCATCATTGAACCATTAATATTTGTTTGCCCTCATCTTATGAGATGTTAATTCGCAAAACTCATTCTCCCTTGAAGTTTCTTTGCAGCCATTGAAGTACTGATATGACTCTTTCCTTTTTGTAGGTTGCTTTCCTGATATATCGACCAATAATGAGATTATTTAAGTGTCAAGGTGGTTCAGATATCTTCTGGCCACTGGATGGCAATGATGCAAATGTTGCAAGCAATAATTCTGATTCGGAATCAGCAGAATGTTCTGCAGACGTTGTTTTGGAACTTGGTTCTTCACGGAAACCTGTGAGGTAAGACATTTGTTCTTTTTTTTTTTTTTTTTTTTTTTTTTTTTTTTTTTTTTTTTTTTTTTTTTTTTTTTTTTTTTTTTTTTTTTTTTTTTTTTTTTTTTTTTTTTTTTTTTTTTTTTTTTTTTTTTTTTTTTTTTTTTTTTTTTTTTTTTTTTTTTTTTTTTTTGAAGCTCCTTTTTTTACACACTTTCAGTTCTTCATTCAATATTTTGATGAAATTTTGTGAATTTAGGCTTTTGATGAATCATAGGACCTTAATACTATGATAGGATCTGAGTTTAGGATCAAAATGAATTGTATTCAATTATTTGGCCCAGAATAAAGAGGCTTTTGAGAAGTTTAATCTCTCCTGCCTTCGTTTTTTTGTTGCATTCAGAGGAATCATACAGGATGTTGATTCTGCAGAACGGTCTAGTTAATTTTTGTTGACCGTTCTTTTATTACCTAGTAGGTTGTCATTACATAATAAATGTGTAAGTTACACGGAAGCATTTATGTGATAAAACGCCACACTAGCCTGATACTTGTAGTCACACCCTTTCTTATGCATAATAGGGTGTTCACAGTTAATGATTTTGATGTTATTTACAGTTGCTAATTTTCTTAACCTCTATTTTCCTTAGGTGGTCAGATCTCCTCGATGCTGTAAAGTCTATGTTACCTCCAAAGGCTTGGAATAGCTTGTCTCCAGATCTCTATACTACATTTTGGGGTCTCACGCTCTATGATCTTTATGTTCCTCAGAGTAGATATGAATCTGAAATTGCTAAGCAGCATTCTGCTCTTAAAGCTTTAGAAGAGCTTTCTGATAACTCAAGTTCTGCAATCAATAAAAGGAAGAAAGACAAAGAAAGAATTCAAGAATCTCTTGATCGCTTGTCCAATGAACTAAATAAGCATGAAGAAAATGTTGCCTCCGTACGCAGGCGACTTTCTCGTGAAAAGGATAAATGGTTGAGCTCCTGCCCTGATACCTTGAAAATTAACATGGAGTTCCTTCAGCGATGTATTTTTCCCCGCTGTACATTCAGTATGCCTGATGCTGTCTATTGTGCTATGTTTGTGCACACTCTTCATTCCCTTGGAACACCATTTTTTAATACAGTCAACCATATTGATGTTTTGATATGTAAAACCTTGCAACCCATGATATGCTGCTGCACGGAATACGAAGCAGGCAGGCTTGGAAGGTTTTTATATGAGACACTAAAGATAGCTTATTATTGGAAGGTAATTGATCGCTTTATCTTTCTTTAATCATGCTGAAGACCAAATCAGCTTCAAAAGTTAAACATCATTCGGAAAAGTGCTTGAATTCTGTTACTGCGTTCTCCCCCATCTCAAGTTGTTCATGTTGATCAATCATTTTGTCAGAGTGATGAATCCATTTATGAACGTGAATGTGGAAATATGCCTGGATTCGCCGTCTATTATAGGTATCCAAACAGTCAAAGAGTAACGTATGGCCAGTTCATCAAGGTACTTTTTGAATTTCTGCGCTTTTTATCTTAAATTGTTTTTTCATTTACTATGTGCATTGTAATGAAGAGGAATAATAGATTGCCTGAAATATGTGGTTTTTTCCACTTTTATGTCTAAGATTAAGTTGCTGTATGAGCGGATATCTCTTGATAGATAGGAAATGCATTGTGGAGAAAAACAAAATATCTAATACATCAATTTGTCATGGTGTACAAGCTGTCTTCCCAATCTTCTTTGTAGGTTATGTATATATCTCTTGATAGATAGGAAATGCAAATTTATCTTCTTTGGCTTCCATTCTCCGGAGTTGTCTTTATTCAGTGTCTCTGGTTATATAGGTCTTGAGCTTTTAATTGTTTTCATAGAGACGGCAGGCTTTCAATTTAATCTTCTTTCATTCAATTTTCAACCTGAATTGAGAATACTGTTTGCCATGCAAGTTAAAATTTTTGTTTGATTTTCCATGTACAGTAGTATTATATTTCTATCACTTCATCTAAGTTTTTGTTTTTTCTTATAGGTTCATTGGAAGTGGAGTCAAAGAATTACACGATTACTCATACAATGCTTGGAATCTACAGAGTACATGGAAATTAGAAATGCTCTTATAATGTTGACAAAAATTTCCAACGTTTTTCCCGTCACTAGAAAGAGCGGAATCAACCTTGAGAAAAGGGTAGGACACTTTCAATGCCTCTTATTGAATTTCATTTTGTTAATGTCAACTAAGAATTTCTTCTCTTCATGTAGGTCGCTAAGATCAAAAGTGATGAAAGAGAAGATCTGAAGGTGTTAGCAACTGGTGTTGCCGCAGCTTTGGCTGCTAGAAAGGTTTGTTGCATATTTTATGTGTGTTCTTATTCTCAGTTTTAATTGGTCAATTGATGTTCTTTTTTCTGCAGCCTTCATGGGTTACAGATGAAGAATTTGGCATGGGTTATCTTGAATTAAAGACTGCACCTTCTCTTGCATCAAAGTCTTCAGCTAGTAATTTAGTTGCCAGCCAAAGTAATTCCATTTATTCTTCCCAAAATGAACATGGTGGAGGAAAGCCTACTGCCGTCCCAAGTTCAGATTCTGGAAATATGGCCAAAGACCATTCATTGAGGTCACGAACTTCCGACATGAGGACGGATAAAATAGATGGTTTTTCTGTTCCAAAATCTGAACTAGGGCATGGGAAACTCAAAGGCACTTCATTGAACGGACCAGATTCCCAGCCACTTGTGCCCTCAACTTCTGTGCATTTAGGATCGTTAAGAGTTGTTGAAGGTCAAAAACCAGGTGATGACTTAAGTAGGACATCGAATGAAGGCTCATCAAAAGTTATTTTCAAGACCTCTTCTGAATCCGAGGTAGAATTACATAATAGTTTTTAGTCAGCATTTGATTGTGTCTGTGTGCATGTTGAATTATGACTTTTTATATTGCTATGTTAGCAGTTAAGAGTTTCAGCAAAACGAAACGCACCTGCTGGGATTCTTAGTAAAGCATCAAAACAAGATACCACGAAAGATGAGATTAGATCTGGAAAAGCTGCTAGCAAGAATCATGGGTCTTCCACAAGTGATCGGGAGCTTCCAATTCATGCAACAGACGGTGGTAGGCATGGAACTTCTTATAAAACTTCTTCAGTTATGCCAAATGACTATGCGCAAAGTTCATTAACTAGAGGCTTGTCCTCATCATTAAAAGCTTCAGATGGTCACGCTATTGAATTGAAGGCAGAGAGTGGAGTAGGGAGGACTTCTGATAGTAGGGCTTCGTCACTAAAGGAAAATGGTAGTGAAGCTCTTGAAGTTGGAAAATCCTCTTCTTCCAGACTTGCTCATTCTCCCAGACATGATAATTCTGCTAGTGGTTCTAGGTCTAGTGATAAACTGCCTAAAAGAGCTAGTCCTGCAGAAGAACCAGACAGACAAGGTAAACGTCGGAAAGGAGATGGTGAAAGTAGAGATGTAGATGGGGATTTTCGTAACCCTGACAAAGATAAATCCATAGACACACGATCTGTAGATGCTGATAAAATAGGAATGGATGAACAAAGTGGGTACAGAGGTTCAGATAAACCTCTGGATAGAACAAAAGATAAGGTAAATGAAAGATACGATAGGGACTACAAAGATCGGGCAGAGCGTTCTGAAAAATCCCGTGGAGATGATCCATCAGTAGAAAAAACAAGAGACAGATCAATAGAAAGATATGGAAGAGAACTCTCGGTTGATAAAGTGGAAAGAGTTTCTGATAGGTATCCTGACAAATCTAAGGATGAAAGAGATAAAGATGATAGGAGTAAGTTACGATATAATGATACAGCTACAGAAAAGTCTCATGTTGATGATCGGATCCACAGACAGAGCTTGCCTCCTCCCCCTCCCTTGCCTCCTCACATGGTCCCTCAATCTGTTAATAGTGGGAGAAGAGAAGAAGATGCAGATAGAAGGTTTGGAAATACTAGACACAGTCAAAGGCTTTCTCCTAGACACGAAGAGAAGGAACGGAGACAATCAGAGGAAAATTTAATTTCACAGGATGAAGCAAAACGCAGAAGAGAGGAGGAATTTCGAGAAAGGAAGAGAGAAGAGAGAGAGGTGGGGATTTCATTGAAGGTAATGCTTGCTCAAATTCAATGCAATTTATTTGATGTCGTGTACCTTTTTGTACGCCTGCAAATTTAGTTACGTTATTCCATATTCTAGTTGAAAGGAGAACTTTGACATCCCTACAAATGTGATAAGTTTATGCATTTTCCTTCAGAAAGTTGATCGAATAAGGAACGCCCAAACTCTCAGTAGTACCATGACACATCTATCTTTTTTTTGTCTCACCAGTGATTTAAAATATTCTTGTCATGGTAAGGATATTTGGTCTATTTATCAATGGAAAGTTATGTTTTATTAATCTGAAGTTCTGCATGTGTGACCAAGCCTAAAAGATGTAGCCAGTGTAGAACTAAACTAAGCAGCTTACCTTTTTAAAACTTATCATAATGTCTCAAGATGGTGAACATTTCTATTTCTGAATTATAAGATGCTTTGATTTTCGCTAGAGATGGTTTTGGTTTCTTTTGTTTAAAAATTAGGTTGACAAATGTACCTAGGTCTGCGAACATGGAATTGATCATGGAACTGCATAGTTTAGGTCATGTAAATTATGATTGTTGGCGTATTCAAATTTCATAGGGATGCTCCATCTGACAAAAAATTGGTGTCAAGAACAGAGAAGGTTCAGATCAACCTACATTTTATTTGTACATTTATTCGGGTTCCATCCTACCTTTATGGCTGTGCTTGCAGATACCATTTGAAGATCATAATGCAAGTTTCAGATTTAAAGATCGTATCTTTTGTTTGTGTAGGTGGATGACAGGGAGAGGGAAAGGGAGAGGGACAAGGCAAACCTTTTGAAGGAGGACATGGATGCTGCTGCTGCCTCCAAGAGGCGAAAACTTAAAAGGGAGCATCTGTCATTGGCAGAGGCTGGTGAGTATTCTCCTGTTGGCGCACCGCCATCTCTGGTTGGTGGTGGCGTATCTCAATCTTATGATGGACGAGAAAGAGGAGACAGGAAGGGTGTAATGATGCAACGTGCCAGTTACTTGGATGATCCAGGCTTGAGAATTCATGGTAAAGAAGTTGTCAACAAGATGACCAGACGTGAAGCCGATTTGTATCCTTTATATCATATTTCCTTGCATCGTGATTAATCATTAATATTCGTAGTTATAAATTTTGTGCATTCATCTAAATATGGCCTTGGAAGTTGATGCATTACATTAAGTTTCATGCATTACATTAAGTTTCATCTATATCCTGTTGATTCCTTAATCAGGACTTAGAATGTACGATCGGGAATGGGATGATGATAAAAGAATGAGGGCGGACCAAAAGCGGAGGCACCGGAAATAAGCTCGATCAGCGCCTTCTAACTAGCATACAGTTGATCATTCTACTCATGAAGTAAAACTGCAAACATGATATCTAAGCTGCCCACAGGGAGGTGAACATTCATCCGATCATCTTATAAAAACTGATTCATAAACAAGAAGGGAGACTGTTGAGTATCGAGGGGACAAATGCCCGCTCCTCCTGTAGTGACGACCAACTCATACTTGAACGGGATGGGACATTGGAGTGGATTTCTGCTGCTGAGAACTATTGTAATTTGTTTAAAACTCAGGTTAGGAAAAAGTTGTGTATTACATTCTTAGCCCCACACTTACATTTGTGTAAAGCCATTAGTGAGTATGAGAGTTCTTCAAGAAAAGTGTGATTGTGGGGCCTTTTCCCTACATGTTCCTTGTAGTTTCCCTGTTCTGTTTGCTAGAAAATTTTCACCCCTAATTTAGACGAGGGTGCTATTGAATCAAATCTCTCGCGAGTTTCATACTCGCATGAGTGAGAATAAAATATGGTTAAAAATGGGTGTTTAGATTTAAATGGAAAGACTCACTCTTAAAAACACTTCGAACTCTTATAAACACTACAAAATAAATAGATAAAGGAATTGGGATTGGAATAATGGGCACACCCATAATTTTGGAACATCAGAGAGCACTGCCCGACCCACTTGTATACAGCTCCAGCCTCTTCCTCTTCTCTGTTTGGTACTTCACCATCTCAACTCACCTCGTTGCGCCTGCCGATCTTCTTTGTCCACTCAACCGGTGGGCTGCTCCGGCCTTCAAACACCGTTTCTGCCCATCCAAGATGGTGATCTGATCTGCTCCGGCCCCTCCCATTTTGCCCAATCACACATTCAATCCTTATTTTGCATACACAGCTGAAGAAGCCCACCACCGACTTCTCACGGTGTTGTTTTTTACTTGGTAGTCATATAACATTATTTTCAATTTTTGTCTCAATGTTGCTTTCGAACTTTCTTTTACAATCTCTCTTCCATTTTCTAAAACTTTTTTTAAAACAGGGTCAAGAGACTTGAGCATAGATTGCATGATTGTTAGCGGACGCGATCCTAAGTTGACTTAACTAACTCACTAAGTGAATATCACACAATTGCCAAATTCGAATTCACTACCAACAAAAGTGCAATTAGTCTATTTTCAACTTTGAGATGTTATGTTTTGTATTTTATTGACGAAGTGTGGAAGCCCCTTAAAGTTCATTGCCCTATGAGTATCCTTTTGTCGGCCACATTCTTATTTGGACAAAAATGAAAGATTGGTGCCTTTATATAAAGTGGAAGATGGCCCCAAATAACAACCATCACAGATCAAATTAGGCCACAGAGACAAAAAATGGCGGCCCAAAAAGGGAACAGAAACAAACTGGAAAGATGGAGGTTATAAGGAGAACTAAAGCTGAGAGAGAGAGCCCAAATCAATCATAATGTCTTCAACAGCATGCTCAACAAACAAGACAGCAGCACATGATGATCAGATTAACCAAAAGGATATAATCCAAAAGGTTGATGATTTGATTATTGTTTCAACAACCAACAATCCTTCTCTATACAACCTCCAAAAAATTGACAGAAAAAAAAAAGAGCTAAGGCACAACTAATCCAATATAGAGCCAATGCAAGAGGTGAAATATATGTTATTATATATAGATATCTATAACTATATGCTTATAGGACTTTCATATATCAAAAAATGTGGGTTTAGGAGCATAAGGGGTATCAAAGATGATCATCATGATATCACAATTAGTGTTTCGGTATTACTTTAAAGGCGATCGATGTGGGATGCCCTTCCTTTTATGCAAAAGCTTCCTTGGATTCAAACCTGACTTCACTTGCCATGCTTTGATCTCTTCAGTTGATTCAGCCATTGAGATGGACGATTTCATTTCGCTCGTGTTGGGTTCTACATTGTGATTCTCCTTCCATGAAATCTCGTTCGGATCCGACTTTGATGTGATGCATCTACAGCTTTGATTGTTGAGTTCCACTGAAACCATAGAGACCTGAAAAAGTTCATCAATGGCAAATCTTCATGTCATTTATGAGCAAATGAATGAGAGTCTACAAGTTAAAGAAAGTTTTATTTACTTTGCAAGCGATCGAACAGAACCGGTTTGGCAAGTCTTGTATGTATCTCCCACAAGCTTCACAAGTACCTCCAAACTTCAATTTTGTCGATGGTTTCGAGTCTTTCGATTGTGGCCGGGGACTCAGATGAACAGCCTTCTCCCCATTTATCTTATAAGTCTGGTGAATCAAAGTCCCAAACTTTAACATAATCAACATAGGTGGAGGGGATGGATATTAGAAACTAAACATTTAGATGAACAAGTTAAATCATTGTTATCTCATCTTATAAATCGAGTGTATGCAACTCGAATGTTCTTATCAGACAACTAACTGCCCTTACTATATTTGATTGCCAAGATAACTCACAGGACATTAGATCCTACGTGGTTAGCCATTGTGCCTCGTACATATTTTCCCTAAGCTTTTTATTGTTTACGTATCTCGTCTCGATCACTAGGTCAACCTACGGTAGGTAGTTCATTCTTACTTGTACTAACGCATTGCTTACAAACCTAATCATTGGCTAAAAGAAATTCCAATGTGCCAAACACAAAACAGTGCTGTTTTATGGTTGAATTCAATGGTTCCTTGGCTTTCAAAATGGTTTATAATGCTTCTTATTCATTTGATCAAAACATGCAACCAGAAGCAACAGCTAACAAGACAAAGACAGCTTTAGGACAAGAAGTTTGTATAATTTAAGGAGGTAACAAAGGAACACCTGAATATTGCAACAATCAAGATGGTTCTGCAAGTCGGGAACACGAACGACGTACTGATAAACATACTTGCAGATCTGTAAACGCCTATGAATGCAATGAGATATCAAGCAATGCCTGCAGATGGCAATACCACAATCTATGCAAAACACATTCTTTTCATTTTTTCTATTGTTTTGATGATGAACACAAGAACCAAAAAATTTGCTTTGCAATAGGGAGCTAAGCCAATCTGCTTTCCTTTTCTTCAGATAAATCTTGCATCCTGCCTGCCAAAATGCAAATCCAAACAATCCAAATTAAACATCATTAGGGTCTGGCAATTGTTTGAATAAAAACAATAGATTATACTCTCAAATCAGTCACAATCAAACAACTAAACTCCTAATTCCAAAATTATACGATACTTGAATCATCTAAAGCACAAAACACGAAATTCTAAATCAAACGATTACAGCCAAACATGTTCCTCAATAATCGGAAAACTGTAAGAAAGGCTCAAACAAAATGATCCAATAACACCCAAAAACAACATTCGATGATGAACAAGACAAAGAAGAAATTAAAAGGAAACCCCCTGGTAAAAAACATCCCCAAGACAGCAAAATACAGAGGAAACTCAAATCTCACCATATACAATTCAAATCGAAGCAACTCCCACTTCTGGGTCGTCGAAAAACCGATAAAAAACAATGAATTTCTCGGAAATTTCTTCAATATATTGAGAAAAGGGGAAGGGGAGAAGAGAAATCAGATAGAGAACAAAAATGAAGAGACAATAGAGACTGACTGTTTATGCGGCTGCAGAGTGAAAACTGAATAATAAAAATAATAATAATAAAGAAAAAAAAAAAGAAAAAGTGGGAAAGTAGAAAATGGAAGGTGAAATGTTTTTGGAAGCCACTGCGACCAGTAGAGCCATTGGAGTAAAAGGAAACAGTGTGCAAACGGCGGGAAAGACGAAGGGCTTTGGGCCGTTGGATGGGAAGTTGATCGGACGGTAGAGATATTGTAATCTTTTCGAGGTTAATGATGGGAGTTGGATTGTGTGGGGTCCGATACGACAAATAAATTCGTTTCGCCGAAATATCCGAGATTTACGCGATCGCCGTTCTTCCTCTTTATTATAAATTTATCATTTCCAAAATTAAATTTTACAACCATATATATATTTATCTACCAATCAAATTTAAGTATTTCAACTTTTTTGTTTTTTATTTTTTAATTATCAACTTACCATAAAAGTTCCTTTTTTTTTTCTTATTTATTTCAATTATCTTATCATCGTACCTTCCAAGTTTTCAATTTTTGTTGATTTGATTTATGAAACGTTGGTTTTAAAATTAATATACTCTAATTATGTTAATTTCTTATATCTATAAAAATTTAAAACTGAGTTTTTAAATTAATATATATAATTTTCAAAAAAAAAAAAAAATACACTTCTAGTCCATTAATTTTAAATTCCTTTTTTTTTCTGGCATTTCATTTTAATTTTTTTATTAAAAATATACTTATTAGGTATTTTTTTCCTATTTTAACATTTTTAAAATTAAAAAAGTAATTTAAACCAAAATACTACATAAATCTAAAAAATTTAACCATAAAAATTATATATTTAGTACATTAAAATTTAAATACTCCGTAAATTTCAAAATATTTGAAATTAAAGCTCTTAAAAATCAATTTTAAATAATTGAACCCTCATTTTCTTAAAAAACAACTCTAAAATCTTTTTCATATTAAATTTTAAAAATATTTTATTATACTAAACACAAATTAAATAATTAATTTTATTTTATTTAAAAATATTATTTAAAAAACAAAATTCCCTGCTATATTTTAGGTTAAAAAAACGTTTATTTTTTTTTTGTTACATGTATTTATAAATGGCTTTTTATATGATGGCCAATGATTAAATAAAAAGAATATCATAGTTCATTGTTCTTCTTTTATTATTATTATTATTATTAAATATTGGTATTAAGTAAAAGTTAGTTGAGAGGATGAGTAGACTATTTGACACACATCATTATTGGGTATAATAAAAGTTTGATAATATTCCTACACACAAACAATAATAACTCTTAATCACTAACATTATCCTTATTATTTAATTCTTCATTTTCTATTCACTAACAATTAATATCTTTCCGACCTCGGCTATTATTGATATATGTAGACAACTATTTTCACACCTCACTCCGTGATACTCAAATCTCATTACTTGCTTGATTTGTACCAGAATTTTTCTGGTCGTATACCAATGTAATTGGATGATCTTTTTTTTTTAATAAATTTAAAATGAGATATTGGACCCTATCTTTTTTCATATAACTTTTTTGATGTGACATTGATGCCACATTATAATGTCTATTTTTCCGACGTGGTTGGCATAGGCTGGAAATGAGGGAGAGAGTGAAAACAAAATACTCGAAAGCTTGGAAAATGTTTTTGGTTTCCATCCCTAACCCTACTTCGATTTAAAATTTTTATAATGAGGTACATAATTTGATATTTTTGAATGGGTTGAATGTTAGAACTATAAGTTATATTCTTTTGTTTTAAAATATCAAATTATTCATTTAATTAACATATAGGAATTAACCATTTAAATAAATATTAGATGAAAGTTAACTATATAATTGAAAAAAAAAATCAAAAGAATTAGTTTATTTATTTATTTATTTATTTTTAAGAAAGCATAAATGGATGAGAATATTCGCTCCAAATTTTGACTGGAGTTTAAGTTGTATGTTTAAATTTATTCAAGCTTAACCTAATCCATCTCTTTTATGGAGTGATTCGAATATTTAGCAAGTAATTTTATCTTATCATATTCGATCAACAAGATAACCCGAATCTTATTTTTTTTTGGAATAATTTCTTATCACATTCTTTCTAAATAGGAAAAAAAATTGAAGAAGAAATAAATGAAAATGGCTAATATTAAATAAAGTAATTATCCATTTAACCTCTCTAAAATATTATTCATACAAATTTTATTTGTTAATGGTTTAAAAATAAAATTCTAAAAAATAGGAGAGAGAAATTAAGAGAAAAGGATGGAAAAACATATAATTGTTTAAAATGTGTTTGGTAATATATTTAACTAAAAGTAAATAGATACATAAAAGAAAAAAAAACCTTTTTTCTAAAAAAATACACCAGTAAAAATTATATTAATTGAATTACGTACTAAATATTGTGATTTGAGCCTTTAAAAATACTGTGTATGGGTCAGGAAATCAAATACATGCAATATGAAGGGACCTATCCTTTTATAAAAACATCATGGCATGGCCCCTTAAGTTACTTTTCAATCTGGATAGGGTTGGACATGTACTACTTCTCTACACATGGTTCACGCACGCACACATAGACCTACTAGAAACCAACAAAAGAAAAGGATTTGCATAACATCATAGTGAATATAAATTTCGTAAGGTATGGGTCTACACTAATCATAACAGGGAAGTAGCCCAATGCATATGATACACAACAATGCATAAGGTCCCAATAACTTAAAATCATGACATAGGTTTATGATGAAAATCATACCTCTATTAAGTAACAACATAACAAGCCTACGAATCATGCATACATATTCTTGTCAAACCTTTCATACTTACATAGCTTAATGACACGGTGAATTGAGGTTTATGTATCATAGATGATCAACACCATAAACATGATTCTAGGACATGACATAATAACATTATAGCATAAATTACAAACATGATGTAGCACAACATAACATGACATAACAAAGCATCACAATCATTGTTATGATACGTGCAAGGATCACGAGGTATGCACCATCATACATCGTACAATTCGCCAACCAAGCTAACAATAAAACCACATTGAGTATTATTAGAGTTTAAATGATTTTTCTATAAAAATCACTACCAAAAATCATCATTTAATTTTTTTTACCTAGAGATTAAAATTGTTACATATTTGAAAGTATAAAAACTAAATTATTCCACGGTAAAAGTTTAAAAATTAAAGTTTTACGATTTTAAAAGTAGAGGAATTGAATTAACTTTCTTTTTTTCTTTTCTTTTTTTCCCAACCGAGCTTTTCATGTATTTGTCACGTGCAACTTTCTTTATCTCACCATAATTTTCATGAATGAAGTTTGAACATAATTTTCGTCCCCAGAGTTAATTTTGAGTAAAATTCAGAGGTCTATTTTTCAAATTTAAAAATTTAAGATTTTTTTTTCTTTTTTTATTGATGATTTGGGACAGGAGGGAAGGGATTAAATTATGTTTGGTTGGCAGAAAATATAAACAAAGATTTGTTTATTTATTTATTTATTTATTTTCAAAAAACAGTGGGTGATGGTCACATTTCTTGAGTTGCCCTAATTTGTAGGGTACCAACAAACAGAGGACCAATTATTGTGGGACAACTCATGATACTTGTTTTTTAAAATTTTCATGGTTGTCCAAATTATTGCTGTAAAATCAGTCCTTTAATTAATTAATTTTTAGAAATTAAATGTCAAGATTTATACTAATAGGGACATACTTGAAAATATATATATATATATGGTCGAATATTTCTTTACCTTCAATTGGACTACAAGATGGCTAATCTTTATGGTCAGACAATAAATCTTAAGTTAAATTGGAACTTGAGGAGCAGATTAAGGCTAGTGTAAAGAATAATTAGTAACTTCAGCATAGGTCAATCAAGTAATTAGCTCTATTATCCGTTTGGTTGGAATAATTGCTTTATGTATGATGACACATGTCCTGCGGCCCTACACGTATCATATGTGTGATATGTTGATATGTTTGATGTTATGATATTTGTCACTATGACATGCCAAGATATGATATAAATGAAATGTCAAATTATGTTATGAGATGTCATGATGTAATATGATATTATTATGTTAGGTTAGATATGTTATGACATGCTATGATGTGTTTTCAAATAAGAAATTTTATGATGCACAATCCCTAAGCTATGAATTAAAGTTATGCTACGAATGAAATGATTTTTAAGAGTTTATGCACGCATATTACCAAGTATAATAGGTGAGGAAGGAATGGAGTTGTCTTGCGTAACTTATTTACAATGGAAAATTATGGGGACCTTAGACATAATTGTATGTTCACGTGCATCGAGATACTTTTCATTTATGATGAGTAAGGATGTGTACACTCTGAGATGGAAATGATCATCATGTTTATCATGATGCTATGACGGTCGTTATTCCCTCCTGGTGTCCCCAATAACAACACTAGAGAGCTAGCCCGACCAACAAGTCTAGAGGGTGTGTGAGCCCTCTTGATGGGCTCATGTTCGCATGTGTGGGTCGTGTGTAGAGTAGTACTACACATCCAATTTGCTCCGATTGGAAATCCGCCTAAAACAAGACGGTTTTAAATGATAGTTCTAATCATTTTGCATGTGTTTGCATTTCGTGATCAAATAGTTGGGTCACTTACTTAGTATTTGTTAAAATACTCAAGTCTTATGCTATTCTTATATCTCAGGCATGGCAAGGTACCCGTGTTGAAGATCATGGAACCTATGTTTGGATTGGGACATTTTTATTTCTTAGATCTTAGGTTAGACTAGGACATCGTTTTAATCTTTTCTTTGATTTTATTTATATTTTACATCAAATACTTTTCGTTATTTTGTTTTAAGACTTTGAATGGAACGTTTAAATTTATGATATCGTTTTATGAATGATTTTAAATAAATGTTTTCGCATAGAAAGATATGCAACTCTATTTCACAAGTAAATTAGGGTCATTACAATTGTAATCTTGATTCCATTTGCAAATTTTTTTTTTTTTTTTTATATATATAT